TTTCAATTACAAGTGCGCTTCCCTAACCATCAAGCCACCACTGCCCACGGTGTATGGGATGAGTGTATGTTTGCTGTCACAGGTGACTGGGCCAATATGGCTGCATATGACTCATGTTATGCTCTGTTGAATTTAATGGAGGTGAATTTTGGCATGTTGAGTGAGCAGCACTGATGCCTGGCACATCCAGATTGGCAGTTGCAGTTTCTGTTTTCGCCTCAAGCATAGGATATTGCACGTTATTCCTGTTTTTGTGTCCATTTTCTCCCACAAAGGCATGTGATGTATGTGCATTGATGTCTTTAAAGTACTGCCATCTTGTTCAAAGTGCACCTTTACGGTGCTTCCCTGGACAAGCTCCAGACTTACCCTGGTTTTGCTTTTGTGTGTGTATATATACATTCCCTTTTTCCTTAGGAATTCCAGAAAAGGGATGAAAAATGAAATGAAAAGGTTTTCTCATTTTTTTGTGCCCTTCAATATTATGAACACAAAAATCTGTCATGTGTTTTTAAGTCCTTCCACAGTCTCTTTGCTCAGTACTTTAGAGGGTCTGTGGAGCCTGTGTGCTTTTTCCCATAATGCTCTTGTCTGGCTTTCCGCCTCGTGACATTTCTCTGTGTCAGAAATAGAGCTCTCGGTCGCTTGATTAATTTTGGTTACTCAATCATTAAAATACATTGATTCACATTTTTCTTCTTGATAGCTCGGGAATATGGGAGAAGAAAGACTCGCACAGTGGATGAGGGTCCAAATAAAGAGCGAAAGCATCATTTGTGTGAAAGCACTAAACATTAAAAGTGAATGAAAATGCAGTCGTCTGTCAGTATTGCAAAATAGATCTTAAATATCACCACAGAACGACCGCAATGTAAATATATATTAAAATAAGACATTCAGGTACAATGGACTCACTCAATAATGCGAGATTAGCCATAAATATGTGCCATTTAGCCTCGCAGAGTAGCCTATCATCAGATTGGGTTAAATTATTTCGCCTAATTTATTTTCCTTGATTCCTGTATGTCAAAATAATTCCTGCTAAAACAAAGGTTAGTCCCGTCACTCACTGACTCAGCCGCATCATCTTACATAATACATAACTCACATGCAGACCTCATGCAAAAGCAGCAGCAGTAAACTTTAGATTGATTTTTAATTTATTTTTTACATGCATTAGATAAAAGGAAAAGGAAACATCATTAAAACTGCAAAACTTGCAGTTTCGTTTCCAGTGACTGAGTAAAAAAGTTTTAGCGTAGCTTATTGATGGTTTAAAGTGATCCCAGCAGACCATCGCGGTCCTTGACATGTGACCGTTGCACGTGCAAGAAATGCCATGTTGATATTAATATCACTCACTAGTGATGCGCGGGTCGACCCGTGACCCGCGGGTGCGGGCGGTTTTAGGAGAGACATTTTTAAAATATCCTGGGTGGGTGGGTGGGTGCGTGCGTGCGTGCGAAAAAGTTACAAAACACATTTCATTATCGATCAAAACGTATTGTAAACGGGGTTCGAATTACCACGAGGATCTCCTAGTTCCTCTCGCAATCACAATCAGGGAAATAAAAGGAAATAGAGCTATCCGTAGATAATCTGATAGAGTTCTCAGATTTGATGTTACAGTTTTAACAACTAGTGTGTTAACATGCGCGCTTGTGTGTGAACGAGTGGCCAGTGGCGACTGAGGCAGTCGTAATGAAAATGAAATTTGCGACACAGTCTGGGTCCATTTATCACATACGACCTAATTTTCAGTTGGCAAAGTCCAATCAGCCACCTAATGTATTTGATGAAAATTTTGAATCCTGAAATGAATTTTTAAGAAGACATCAGACATGTTGTTAATATACATATAATACTACTGTTATATGTTACCCATATGTGCATAAGTGTGTCTATAAATAACCTCACGTGGAGTCATTAACAAGTGCATTTGTAGACAATGAAACAGGAAGCTAAGACTGAATTAGCATATTAAAATTAAATATTTCTATCGTTTTGGAAGTGATTGTCTAGCTGTAGATTGCATATGTCAAATACAGTATGCAGATTCAAATAAATATGTATTTACATAAAAATAAACCAGCAGAAGTGCATTTTGGGTAGCTGACATGGCATCATGCACCATACTAGGGATGTACCTGGCCTTGCAGCATGCATGCTGGGTGTCTGTGCAGGGGACTCTCTCAGTGGAGAGTCACTGTGGAAGTCAACAAGTGAGTGAGCCAAACAGCTGCTTGGTCCAGAGCCCAGGATCTCAGCGGCACAGGCTGGATCCAAGTCATGACTTACATAATGATAAAACAACACGTTTCGCTGGGAAGTTTGCTCGTTCCTGTGCTGCCATCATTTCAATGCAATCCCCCAGAAAAATAATTTTATTCAGTCATGCAAATTTGATCCTTGGATTGGGCTTGATGCTGGTAAATGAGCTGTAATCTTAATTTTTCTGCCTCTTTTGTATGAATTCTCACCTGTCTTTCACTGTAAGTCATGCTAGTCATCCTGTTTTTTCAGGAGTGATCAGAACAGAATTGTACAGATTTTTAGAGTTAAATTTTGCTTCGGGAAGTTTGATGTGATGGTGTTGGAAGGTATCGAGGTGTCTCCATAATCGCGGAGTCAGATTCTCAGGAACGTGTTTAGACACATTTAAGGACCTAATTGTTGGTGAATGCTAAACAAAGGAGTGTAATTAACTGTACAAGTCCGCACTCCCCTTCCACCCTGCATAATGGCTTATGTGCTGTTGTTGTTGCTCCTGTATCTCCTGCCTCCTTGGCTGTTTCCCTTTGTCTTTTTTCCCCACTTTTCACTGTGTTTTTCTATCCTGTCTGCAGCCAGAGTGTTTTCACTGAGGTTCCCTGCTTGTTTTGGTGATTTTTTTTTTTGTCGGGTTCCGCTTTGTCTGGTGCTGCAGTTGGGGGTGTAAGCAAAAGCTTTATTTGGCATTTGCCTGAGTGCCGTCAGTCTGACAAGCTTGGGGGGGGGGGAGCAGAGGGGTTTGAGGGGATTGGACGTAATCTTGAAAGCTTCACCGTATGTGGAGAACACCCAAAAATCATAAGCGGAGTGTCACGCCAGAGTGCTGCGTCACCCCTGGCCTGCTGTGACCCTGTAATAAGAGAGAGAGGGTTGTGTCCATTTTCCGTGGAGCCCCTGGAGGGGCATAGGCATTCGGCAGCACGTAACGGTGCATAGCCCCTTCATCTGCCCAGTTTGGGAGGTCAGAAATATATGTTAGTCTCTTTACTTTGACTCTGAAGGCAGCCTTTTGTTGGCTGTGCTATCATTAACATCATAAATGGTGACAAAACGATGCCCTGTGGTGCTGGGAGTGGTTTGTGGCTAACTGGGGTAGGATGCTATGCCTATGCGCGGAAGGTTGCTGGTTCAAATCCAAGGGTCAGCAGAGTCATTTTACTATTGGGCCCTTGAGTAAGGCCCTTGACCTTTAATTCCTGCAGGGATTGTCTGACCTTGCTTTCTCAATTGCATGTCTTTTTTGATAAAAGCGTTTACTAAGTACATGTAACGCAGGACCTTAAATGTTAAATTTTTTTTAACTGTGATAATTAACTTGTCACATGACGTATCTTTAGCAGGAATGCATATTCATGATTCTGTTTGTAGTTCTAAACAAATCCACCTGCCAGGAATCACTTCTTAGAAGTTAAAGTCCATCCTGCGAGATGCCGCTTCCAGTTGGCGTTGCAAATAGTTAACTCTCTAATGACCTTACTCATCAAGCCGACCTTTTAGCCATTCAGCTAAATGATCCGTACACAAAAGCAGACAGAAATTAACCATGTAATCTCTTAAAAAGACCAAAAAAAATAGGATGATCTGCAATCATCACCTGAGCTCTTAGTGGTCACACGGTCGATTACAATAAAAGCTGGAAAAGGCTGTAGAGGAAACACAATAACGTAACACATACACAAGCCATTAGTGCGTCTTCCCGGAAGTGTTAGGAAAACCGTCAGGAGGTTTAGGTGATGACAACACATGACTGAAAGGTATTCATGAATAGTGTGCTGCTTTGTTGACATGTGTTTCATTATTTTTGTTGTGTCCTGATTAAACAGGGCTGTCAGTTACTACGCCTTTACTATGCTTCATAATTATCATTCTGTTCTCACGACTTTTCCCGTTGAAGGCCACAGTTGCATTTCAAAATTATTTGTTTTAAATTACAGTACATTGCCTAATTGTAGTTGCAGGAGCTGAATGCTTATGCAAGCAACATTTCTCAGTTTTGGAAATTCTTTTCGAAGACTGGCTGACAAATAATTGATTTAGACTTTTTTCCGCAATAAGTTCGCTACTGGCAGGACAAATATGCATGTGTATCACTTTTTATTCAGGCCAATCCTATCGTCTTACGGAGGGTTTCAATCCTTCTACAAGGCACTATGTTTTATTTGGGTTTTATAATTTATTATGAGTGTGACCCTGAACAGGTCAAACAGTTACAGAAATGGATAGATGGAAGTTATTATTAGTTAAGTGGGTGGTTTTTAAGCTAATTAACATTGATTCTAATTTCCCACCATAAGACATGGCTGACCGTGCTTCTGAGTGCTGGGATTATAAATGCTTTTCAGAGAGTATGCATGCTGGGACAGCCTGTAACATCCATCTGGCTTCCATTCTGACCCTTCATGGCGTCACTAATTTCTTGCACTTACTGTTCCATAAGGTCATTTGGATGTGAAAATTCACCAGGGGAACGTGAACATGACACACTAGCCGTAAACTGCTTCAGACTATTTCCCTCATTCAAGCCTTAAATGAACAAAGAGATGTAATGTTTCCAGACATGTCCCTTTCTTTTGTTTGTTACCTACGGCAATGCTCGCATTGTAGAACTAAATGTTTTTTTTGTTTTTTTTTTTGTTAATGGAACAAAATGCAATAAATATTTTCTCCGCTGACAGAAGGCTTTCTGTGTTGCTCGCATTAAGCACGCTCTGTCCTCGCTGTTTTTGCAGTTACCTGGCTGACCAGTGCTGGAGCGGCGGATGCATCTACTTGATCATGCTGCGTCGCATCAAACGCAAGGCCCCGCTCCCCCCCTGCGGCGGCGATGGCAGGGGGGGCAGCATGGGTGCTGTTAGCGAGCCCCGGCACAGCTGCCCGCCGGAGCCCGGGCCCGGCCCCGCCCAGAACGGCAAGCGCACACGTAAGCTGGGTGTGGTGTCCCGCTGCCCGCCCCCCCGAGGCCCCGCACAGGAGAATGGCTACAGCTCGCCTGTGGAGTCTCTGTCGCCGATGCGGCTGGACGGCCTGGCGGACACCCCCCCAGAGAGGGGGCAGAGGGCCACCCTGCCCGCGGGTCTTCATATCCGCACCCATAATGGCGTCCTTGTATGCACACCCCCTGCCCACCCACGGCTACGTTACTCTGAGAGCTGTAAGATCGACACCATGAGCGAGTTCTCGAGTCAGGTAAGCTCCAAGCACTCTTCCTGTTTTGGCCTTCGGGGGGCAGCACCGAGTCAAAGTCCATCAATGGGCCGCGCTTCTCAGTCCTACTAAACGATTAAAGCTGAAATGAATTCAAAACCCAATAGGCTGTCTGTAGCTGTCTGATCAAAGGCCCACATCTTTCTCCAGTCTTCATTGTTTACTTGGCGTTCAGAGTGCCATGAATTTACCCTGGTCTTGACCATGACAGCAGCTGAAATCATGAAAACTGCCCTCGTCACTCACACATGCAGAAATGGTCCTGGCTGCTTCAGGAGAACTGCGGCAGTTAACTGGGGAGATACGTAATCTGTACTCTGAAGAATAACTGTAAAAGTAACATGAGTTCTAAATCTTGCATTTGAAACACTTTAGGCCACACACATGTGACTGGTCTGCTATGCTAATGTGCTAATTCATTCCCACAGTCCCGCTTCTGGGTTGTGTGTACAATAAAGTGAGTAATTCATACCTCCAGTGTGGCTCCATGAGTCAGAAAGACTCCCTGGGGGGTGAGGGGGGGTGATCTTGCCAAACAGGTTGTTAATGTTGGCATCGGAGAGGTGGGGTGGAATTCGACATGCGATGAGTCATTGTAAGTCTCCGTTTGTGGACCCGCACCTTGCAGCGTTCATCCGCGTGCACAATGGTCCTCGAGGCCACCATTGCGATCGTGAGGACGCCATGCTGGGACTGAGGGCCACTTCTCTGGGAGCAGGGACAGCTCTGGATCTGGCTCTGCTGCCTGGGAAAGGAACTGCCAACTTGAAAGCAAATCATAAAGTGAATGTAATGATTTTTATGATTAAATAGACAGTCAAGTACAGCATGTTCACATAAAATACCAGGTTTTCCTGAAGTTAAAGGCAAGTATGAGTAGCATTAGAATAATTCAGCAGCACCCTGCCTTGTCAGTGCAAATAACGATTATCTTTATTAAATTTAATATCGTACATTTCCCCTTAACATCCTGCAGTTACTGTGACTTGGTTACTGAGTGTGATCAAACTGGCATGATGATTATGGGTGTAATATGCGACCTGCTCTGCTTGTATGTCTGCTAAATAAATAAATGTAAATGTGAATTTAGGTTTAATGAAAAATAGCTTCTTTATTTCTTCAGGTGTTCCTGTTTATGCTGGCAGTGGTATCTGAGGAGGAGAGGGAAGGATCAAATAAATCAGACTCTACTTTTCCTGAGACCAGCCAGAACATCTGTCTGCTGAGTGTTATTCAGCATGACATGTTTTTCCAAGTTACTGCAACGCACATTTCAGTGAATTGTGATGTTGGTAAACCTAATGTAAGGGTGTTAGTTGTTAATTAATAAGAAGACATACTGGTTAAAAAACAGAGTATTTGCCAATCACATTTCAGGGGTTGTGTTTCGTAAGCGCATGGATTGTGAAGTAGCTCTGTAGTGGAAATATGTTTACAGTCACACCCACCATTAAATTATACACCACAATACAGAGTTTGGGTGACTGCATGGTGAAGTAAGTAAGTTTGTGTCAGTTCATCAAACAGCCTGGTGCTTCTGATATTGGTCTTCTGTCCTTAATGACCTCCGGCGGTCACTCTGTGTGGGTTTCTGTCAGGATTTTTCCTGTGGCTTTGACCCATTCTGTCCCCACTGCGCATCGATGCATCCGTTTCTTCCAGTCCATACTGTCCAGCCGCCTCCTTCAGTTGAAAACCGAAGAAGATGAGGACGGTATATACTCGTACCCGTGGCCGTTGGGTTCCCTTGTATTTGCATTCCAGCATTGAATACTTAGTGAGTTACTTCAAAATGCCAAGTGCAGGCAGTTTGTCACTCAGAATGACATGTGTAAGCACATGTGCTGGTTGTTAATGTGGGACCAGCACTCGTATGTCGTGTGGGATAGCAGGAAGTGGTTTGCACTTGTCGGGTCTGAGCTTGTGCTGACTGCCGTCCCATGGCCCAAACCAGCCTGGAGATCAGCACACAAAGCCGTCGCCAGCTCAGGCAGGCGGAGACAGCAGAAACCACGAGGCAGACATACGTACATCCATGCTCTGGTTGGTGTTTATGGAGAAATGAAAGAACTTTTCTGGAAATTAAGCTGAGATTTTGGTTGACATATTCTAAAGAATAATTATCTTTAGGAGAATTTCTGGAATTCTGTTGGTATTGTTTTTTTCTTTCTGAAAAAAACATGGTGCCATTAGAATCAGAAACAGAATTAGAAGTTTTTCTTTACAATTACGACAATTTATATGTGGTGTAATCAGAATTACATTCTGCTCTGGGACAAAGTTGATTTTAGCTCAGTACTACTTGTAAAGGAAGTTTGTGCAGAATCTTATGTATATTAACCTATCTGATACTTCTATCCAAAGCAACTTACTGTTGAGAGAAGGTTACAATTGATATGTGCTCCCTGGGATTTGAACCCATAACCTTTGCACAATGTTCTACTACTTGAGCTGCAGGAGCATCAGCACGGGACTGGCTATTTAGCAGGCTATGCTGTGTGAAACAGCCTCCACCCCCCTGCCCCACACACCCACCACATGGAATTCCAGACACACAAGCTCGATCGCGAGCGCTGATAAGGAGTGAAAATGCGGGTTCCTGCCCGCCTTTGTTGTCCTGTTTACTTCCAAATTGGCCTGATTGGGATCAGAAGCTGTGTTGCAGTTTTGGGCCTGATCCTCACTACTGTCACAGTGATGTGACAAAATGAAAAAGGCAGATAGTCACAGTGGCATCGACCTGAGCACCCGTAAGGGGGACAGCTAGCCACTCTTATCCCAGTCCACCTAAGAAGGCCATGTTATCTTTGTTTGGATCATAGCGGGTGGCGGTGTGGAGACATGTTCAGGGAGGTTCCTGATTGGTCCCTCCTTAGCAAATGAGAACATTGCTGATAATTATCAAGTATGTGGGGTCCCACTGTGCCACTGGCTGATTTTCATGTCTGGTCATTTTTCTTACATTGTAGGTCATGAAACATTGCGAATGAATTTCAGTCTGTAATGTAATAAGCTGTCATGTCAGGAATTGTCTTCGTTGTCAATGAGAACGATTTCTTCCACCCCCATACTGCAGTAATTTAGTGGCTATAAGAGAAAACCAACAAAGAACTGACCGCCAGGCTGGTATCTCTGCACCCGAGTCATGTTTGCTTTGCCAGTTAGCATCGCAAGGTGTGATGTAGAGATCGCATGGAAGAGGACAGGACTCTATCAGGTTTAAATGTGATTTGTTAGTGTTCTCTTGTGGTCTTTCCGTTTCTACAGCCGGGGGAATTTTTGTTAATGATTTGATTGGTGGTCACAAGCTTGTCTCGTCGTCTTTGTTTGAAATGAGTCAGAAGTTGAGTAGCCAATCAGTGCACACACTGCAGCCCTTATCTCAGCTCAGTGGATCGAGATGGAGATTAGCATCGTTTATATGATAACGGCTGAGACTAGACACAGCCCTTAGGTACCTTAGCTGGTGTTGTACCCTTCCTGTTGGCCTTCTTGAAATATTTGAAGCTTTGGATTTCTTATTGTTAACCATCCTGGATTACGTATGTCGTTCCTAATTATTATTATTCTTAAGAATTGTTCAGTATGTCTGCACAAGTAGCTACTAATCTTTTTTTAATAACAATGATTCCAAATTAAATGAAACAACTCACATTGATATTTTCAGTACTTGTTAACTGACCTAAAGTTCTGAATAAATGAAGTTTGTAGCACTACAATCTAAAAAAATATTAAAGGCATTAATCTCTTTGTTTATAAAATGATTTTAGGTTTGTTAACTTTGTATTCTTGTGAAAGAGAGTGCCAGAGTTCAAGTGCTTTGTTCTGGAATGATCTGTACCCCTCAGAGGAAAGCCTGGGTATTTAGCTGGTATTTGAAGATTGTCTTGATGTCTAAGGCTGCAAAAGATTAGTGGATAAAGGCCAGTGTAATGGTACAACAGACGGCGTTTGGCGAATCCCCTTTGAGAAGCGCTCTCACGAATGGGGGCCATCACCTTAGCTTGGTGCAGGTCACTTTGAGAAGGTTAATCCCACACAGGATGGCTTCCTCGCCTTCTACCATCGACGTGTGTTTGTGGGTTGGTGATGTCGGAGGCAGACGCCGGCCGTGAGGCAGCTGCTGATCACTCCTCCGTGCCCACAGGTCAGGGAAGGCGGCCGTATTTGGAAGATGCACATGGTGAAGGGGCAAGACGGCTTGGGCATCCAGATCACCGGGGGCCGAGGCTCCAAGCGCTCCCCCCACGGCATCGTAGTGGCCCATGTGGAGGATGGGGGGGCCACCAAAAGGTAACATCAAAATGGCCCGTCCTGGTTCTCTCTCTACGAGGGAGACTCAGGAATTCAGCAGTGTCTTCCGGTCCTGGTAGAAGCAGTATAATGTCTTTGCTAATAGTTTTCTCCTTACCTTCTGCTTTTCAATGGGAACTAACTTGCCAGAACATGAAGGCACATTTGTTATTCTGGTAGATCATCAGAGTTGCTCTTTTTACGTGTGTAAATATTGAAAATAAGCTCCAAGTGCAATGATTGGTCAGCTGTGCGTCTCTGTATGGGCCGTGTCTTTAGACGTCAGCAATGGTGGGTCCAAAGCTAACAAATCTGTGGTGTAATGCTGCTCCCCGGATGTTGGCTGGCTCCCGGCCCACTCGGCTGTTCCTGTGTCTCCAGAGACGGCCGGCTGAAGGTCGGAGATGAGCTGCTGATGATCAACGGGCAGTCGCTGGTGGGCCTCTCGCACCAGGAGGCTGTGGCCATCCTGCGCTCGGCGGTCGGGCTGGTCCAGCTGGTGGTGGCTAGCAGGGTGAGTGCAGCTGCAGCTTAATGCAGCTCCTGCAGCGGTGCTCACGGATCAGCTGCAGATTAATGCAGCTCCTGCAGCGTTGCTCACGGATCAGCTGCAGATTAATGCAGCTCCTGCAGCAGTGCTCACGGATCAGCTGCAGATTAATGCAGCTCCTGCGGCAGTGGTCACGGATCAGCTGCAGATTAATGCAGCTCCTGCGGCGGTGCTCACAGATCAGCTGCAGCTTAATGTAGCTCCTGCAGCGATGCTCACAGATAAGCTTCAGCATTAGCTACTGGGCCATGCTACTATATGGCAATCCCTAGAGGACAATCACTGCTGTGTGCTCATGTTCAACTGCTTTAATGGAGGGCAGTTGTTCAAAAATACTCAAAATTTTCATGAAATGTTCAAGTTGAGGTAGTTGGCATTACCAATGTGGGATAAAAGTAGCAACACTTTACCAAACGTAATGAAAGCATAATTTGCAAAAGCAGCTAAAAAGGAATTAAATGGATCATTTAATTAAGAAATAATTCTGTTATTTTAGTGGGACATCTTTGGGAAATTCATTCTGCTGGGGTTTCTTACTTTGTTCAGTTTTGTAGATGTGAACCAGCTCATGGTAAAATACTAGTGTGATGGGATAGAGACATTTTGTCAAGGGACACCCCAAAGTTAACTGAGCCAACGTAAGAAGCAGCGTTAAGCCAGCTGTATGGAGTGCTACCCTACCCTACCCTGGCCTGACCTGGTGCGGACCCTGCAATTCTTGTGATGTCTTCGTTACATATAAGACTCAAATGTATTTTACTTTAATTGTTTTTTTTATGTCGGGTGAAGTTGAAATGTCATGATTTAATAAAAAGGACAATGATGCTACAGTGCATAAAGCTGATTATATTATTATAACGTGATGTGAGGGTGGTATCCTAAGTATGAAGTAATAAAATGCCTCACTACAGGCCCTCGGTTGACCAGATAAATTCTTGTCCCCCAAATAAATATCCTGCCCTCTGAAATAGTTGAGGAAATCCGTGTTATGAATGAAGGAAGCAGTTTATACTTCTGAGGTATTAAATGAAAAAAATGTTAAGGATTTGGAAGGTAGGCTTTGGCTTTTCTCTCTCTAAGTTCATCCGTTGCTGGTGGATTTCTCATCTGATTCTGGGCTGCGGAATATGGAGACGAAAGTGTAAATTCAGTGGTGGATAGACGTGTAAACGCGTGCATTCTCTGGATGCTTCTCTTTCCCCATCAGGAGGAGTCCAATGTAGATTTCCTGAAGTACCCGTCCAGCAGTCTGCCGGACTTGGTGAGCACGTGCTCGTCCCAGGACACAGATCTTTTCCCCTCGGGAGCCAAGCAGAGGTTGGACCCGGATGTGGAGGACGTGCGAGCCGGCAGCCCCCGCCAGTTGGCCCGTAAGCCGGTATGCCTCATCCGCCCCCATCTGATGTCCCCATCTCTGATCTCCCTGCCCCTTCCCAATGGATGTATGCCACACTGGCAGCATTCCTCAGCTGCTGGGGGAGAGGCAGTCTCTGGCCTCCTGCTGTCCTGACAGATCCCCATCGTTGATACACATGTTCTGGAACATTCTAAGTAGTGCACAGTCCTGTCTGTTTATGGAATGTTATTAAATCTCTTGAAAGTTAATTTGGTCACAAGGCCCCTCCATAATTTAGCAGAAATGTCAGTACTGTAATTATGAAACTAGTTCAACATGCAACAATGTTGCCCACTAGCAATTTGAAGTATCTTCAAATTTGTTTACATCAAAGAGTTTCAGCTACGTGCAGCAACCCGATATGAGCTTTAGGGGTTTAAGAAGAAACGTAGGTTTAGCGTAGAATGTAGAACTAGTTACAGAGTTGAACTGCTTTGTTTACATCCAGTGAAGGAGATAAATATCTAGCTTTTTGTCTGTCATGCTTGCTTGGAAGCCAACTCATAGAGTTGACCGAGCAGGTCAGACAGCATGCTCTCTGCTGTAGAAATTCCGGCCCCCCAGCCTGAAAAGCGGCCTGTAAACAGCCTGCTCCCCCATGCAGCAAATCATGTGAGAACACGCAGACAGGGTTTAATTACCTTACAGCTAAGGATTAATGTGACTAATGCGCCTGGGGCCTATATCACAAAGCGAGATTTGTTGGCTAGCTACATAGCTTGTTAGATTCTAAGGTACCCCCTGTTTAAATGGACTTTATCTTCATTCACCTGCATTTAGCCCAGGCTAGTTATCCGACAAGTTATCCGGCTAAGCAAGAAATCCTGCTTTCTGAAACAGGCCCCAGGTGGACTGAGAGATTTGGAACGCGGTGTGGTGGTGGCTGTCACCGTTGCTGGTTCCTGGTTTACAGAGTTTTCACAAGACTGTGTGGCGTGTGATGAATGAGATGCATCTAGTCAATGACATTTCTATGGCAAAGACACCTGGTTAATGAGAGAGGTTAGTGATGAATGGCCAGACTGCATAAAACTGACAGGAAGGCCTTAGGTGAAGACATAAGAGCTCAGCAGAACATCAGTGACATGAGCACACATCATCTACCACAGACGAGTTGGTGTACCTAATAAACTGTCCACTTAATGTGCATATCCCTCTGACAGTTTGACTTTGTGAACAGTTAATAATGTAAATGATATAATCTGTGGCCCATTCTGTATTATTAGACGTATCAGGTAGCTGTCACTCCTGCCAGGACAGGAAGAATGGAGCAGGGCAGGAAAAGTGCCCCAAACCTTTGCTGCTCCAGTTTGTGTCCACATTGTCTGACACCTTGATGTTTAAAGAGCTACCGGCAGATCTGCGACTTTGAGAGAAAATGTGGCTGTAATGGCCAAAACTCTCCCTGCGCTGGTTTGGAATATTTAGTTTGCTATGCCCCATGAGTCATTCCTAAACTCAGTCAAGCAGCGGAGAGCCAGCCAATCGGAGGGCAGACGAATCCACAATCAGATTAGTTCCCCTCCGTTTCTTAGAACTAAAACAGACCGGTGCCCTTTGGGTGTAATTATTCAAACTCGTTAGCTGAATCACAACAGAAACATGAAACATATGTTCTGAAGGTGCAGATTTGTTCGTCGATTTTCCATGTTTGTCTTTCTGGATTTGATTTTGGTGTAAACTTAGGTTTTATGTATTGGATATGAATAGGTTACAGCTGAGCTGAGCTCTTGGTTATCAATGACCAGGAAACAATCATGACTGTGTGTTGAGGTTCTTAAGAATTCTGCGGTACATTTCGGAGAATCCAGAATGCCGGCCAGAATGCTGGCCACTACACTTCTGTTAAACAGAAGTGTAGTGGGAGTAGTTTGTAAAACTGGTGTTATTGGACAATTAGACCATTTCCAGGATTTAATTAAGATTTTTTTTTGGCAGTTATGACAAGTAGATTCAAATTGGCTTGTTTTTATATAACTTCCCTTCCAGCCCTGTCACCCCTAACAAAAATCAGCAAAGCTTAACAAACATCAAGACAGGCAGCATGTGAGGCACAAGGCAAAAGTACAACGTCACAGTCGCAAGAGCAGCATTGCAGGCAGAAACAACAGCAGATACACTGTCTGACTGATGATAATAAGGTGTAATGCAGCAGGTGGGAGGAAGGCAGCTCCTAGGGTCAACAGGAGCGGCACGTCTCCAGAGGCTCGCGGTTATCTGTGCTGCACACCTTCTGCCTTTTATGAATCAAGGAGATGGGAATGACTGATGAACATCTTGGCCAGATAGTGTATAATGAGCTTTCTTAGGAAGGGTTAGAGTCATCCAGGAAGGACGTTGTCTGTTTTGGGCTTGAGGAGACCTCGTGAAGATCGATGACAAATGATGATAAGAGAATAGTAAAGACTGCTGTGGCCATGAGTCTTTCTGTTTTTAGGTAAACAACATACAGAGATGAAGCAATCTACATGCTAATGATTAAATAGGCTGACCAGAGAAAATCCCTTTCAGGGAGGACACTTTGAGCTACTTCAGCTTTTACAAACTACCTTGAAACTGAATTTGTTTGGTCTGTCTTGTACTTGATGGGGTTGTTTCCTTGATTGAAAGACTCATCCAGCTGATTCACAATAACATCAGTGACACATGCATGATAATAGGAATCTGACCACTCAGCACGCAGCAAGGACTCGGTGCTTAAGTGGAATCCAGGTCCTTTTATTGAAATGGTGGTTTGCATATCCTATCCTAGCTCAAAGTGCCCCCAATTATGGATTATCTGGTCACTCTAGGTTAAATAACCAGTAATCAGGTTAACAGAGTTCCCTCCAAATTTGGTTTTTATTCTTTCTTTAACCAGAAGATCTCTGTGTTTACTTGCAAACTCACAGGGCACCTGGAGTGTTTGTGACAAATTTTTTTTTTCATTCATACAGCGATTTGCCACACACCATTGGGAATTGCGAAATCACCTTAGCTGCTTCCAGACAGTATCGCTTTGCATTAAGGGTTGTATTGCTGAGTGGGGGGGTGGGACGGGGATGGTGAAATCAAGTGCTGTGGTTCCCATGGCGATGATGCAAAACCTCCTTGATCTTAAAGTCATTTCTGTCGCTTACTTACCACAAGTAGCCGCATATTTCCCTCCTCTCCATGTTCCTCCCCGACTCGGCATCTGGCTTGAGTGTTTACTGTCTCTCTCATCTCAACAGTCGTCCTGATGAAGATTTACTCGGAAGGACTATCCTGACTTTTGCTTCTTTCGCAGTTCCCAGAGGCAGATAAAGTCCTGGAGCTTGGACGGACGGAGGAGCAGAAAGGGGGCTGTCACAGCCCATCACCGATGAAATTCCGAAGACGATCCCAAGGTCCAGAAGTTATTATATCTACGAATTGGTCCTTTTCTAATGTTTTTTGTTAGTAAAGGATTCAGCTAAAATATGAGGTCCACCTTATAAATAAAGCAAACATTGTGCCATTTACTGATGTGCTGGACTTTTGTAGCATTATTCTACTTCCTGCCAAACCACTTGAGTCTGTGGCTGAATCCAAGTCCTCTAGAGTATAAAGTTAATTTGTCTAAAATACGCCAAACTAGCATTCTGAGCATGGAAGCTAAATATTCAAGACACAGGTGGCATAGTGTTTAAGAGACAGGAACTGTGGGCAGTAGTTTCTACCGCTGTAGTTTTTTTCAACTGTTTTTAATACCAAGTTTATGGGTTAGTAAAGTGGTAAGCTCTTTGTGTTGCTATGGGTAACAGTGTCGGCTAAACAAAGCAGTTTATTAAATGTAAAATGTCAGCTAAATTAATTTTGTTTTTTTTTTTATGTGGCTTTGGGTGTTTGTGATTAGTTGGCATTGCTGGTTATCTGTGTTGTGTTTATTTTGTATTCTGTTTACCATGTTTACAACGCTTACAGTTCTGGGCAACGTCTGCCATGTGAGAATTCACTGAAACTGAGCTGCAGTTAATCTGTTCCAGGTGGAAGCTGCCGCTTAGAGTCGGTCGGCGAGAACGACGAGCTGGTGGTGGAAAACGGGGACGCGGTCTTCGAGATGCCAGAAGCCCGCGGAGTACGCAAGCACTCACTGCCCCAACAGCCAGATGCCGCGGGGCTCCGGCAGGTCAGTCTGCCGGCTGTAAGCCTTCAGCTGGTCGATATAGTTAATGAGATATAATGGTATATAATCATGAAGATTCTGATGCCCTATCCACGAAAAGCCAGAATCACATTTCAAAGCTGCCAGATCAGGAGCCTATAAAAATCGGCATTGCACCTACTGGACTCTTCCCCACTTCCTGTCTGTGTGATACATGTGCCTACCGTAATCCCTGTGGTAATCGGGAATTAGATGCTTATCAGTAGGTTTATCAGCATACAGCTAAATTATAATCTCTAAAAGGTGTCTATAAACCCTTCTAGCTGGTTGGAAAATCACATATTGTCACTCACAGAATTGTATGTGCAAAGTAAAATAATAATAAAATAGTAATATTAATAATAAACTGGAGAGTGAAGCTCTTTCTGAGGTGCTACGTTTCCTTCACTTGAGCTTTGCAAACTCGAACAACTCAGGCAGAACTGTTTCTGGGAAACCGCTGAGAGCGGATCAGGTGAAACGCGTGAACTGCCAGCATCCGAGAGCTCGTGTGACTGGGTCGTCCCTCTTGTTTCCACGGCCGTCTTAGGAATACAAAATAAAGAAGTCAGCCCGGTCCCTCAGCACCATTCAAGTGGAATCGCCATGGCGACTGGCCCATCCGTCCATTATCTCTAATATCGTCCTGATGAAAGGACAGGGCAAGGTCAGTTCCTGCCGCAAAGAGCAAACACTGTCATAATCTGCTTGGGGCTGTAAGCAAACTATATTTTGTTTTTTGACATGACAGCGGAAATTGATTCAGAAGTCCAGCATTGTTTAAAGATTATGTTGGGAGCTGTGTTGTTTAGCAGTCAACACTTAGAATACTGCATACTGTTTAATCTGCAAGCTAATTTTTGATATACCTTTTCATGTTCCTTAAAATGTAGTGAGATATGCTAGTTTTATTGTGTCTCTGTACACATGAAATGCTATAAGCAACAGTAACAGTAACTTCTGAGGAACATTAATCAGACTGAATGTAATATACTTATTTGTCTATCACCAAAGGGCCTGGGATTCAGCATTGTAGGCGGGCAGGACTCTGTCCGGGGACGAATGGGGATTTTCGTTAAAACGATTTTCTCCAATGGGGCAGCTGCCGCTGATGGAAGACTGAAGGAGGGTATGTGTTTCTCATTTAGGTTGGCAGTCTGAAATTGGCCTCGATTTAAATCTTGTCCTGAGGGATAAAAAGTTATATTAAAAGAGCGACTTGTCAAATAGATGATGAGGAGAATAAGAAATGGTTTTGATGGCCCAGTAAATCTGGAGCTCAGATATCAATCTGCCCCAGGCTGTGTATGAAGGTTTGGAGGGGAGTAGATGCATGATTAGATTTGTTATGGGGAGATATTGGTGCACACGGGTTAGTTATGGTCTGTAGTCCTCTCATAAAGAGACCACGAGAGGAGAAAATGTTCTGGATCACTGTAGCACGCTACTCTGTGGGTCTCATCAGGGTTCTGCTATCTGCTCTGTTCCTTCTGTCCCAGGAGACGAGATCCTGGAGGTCAACGGGGAATCGCTGCAGGGCCTCACTCACCAGCAGGCCATCCAGACCTTCAAGGTATCTGGTGGGGTGGACAAAAGATTTAAAATCCAATTATCTGAGTGATTGTCCCAATATAAAAAGGCATTGTAATTTATTCATAAAGAAACGTCATCCAACAAGGTCCTTCTCATTGAGTTTACCCAAGTAGGTCTCCTACATCTCCAGGTTGAAATGTGTCAAAATAAATACTGGACATTCACGAGGGTTGAGCAGGCGTTCACTGGTGTTCTCATTGGTTTCTGTTAATTAAACCCGAGACTTACGTTTCATTTGGGTTGGTTGGTATTTCGGTCATAATGCTTTTGTTCTAATTCCGGTATTTTCGCCTTACAGCAGCTGAAGAAGGGCGTGGTGACCTTGACTGTGCGCACGCGCCTCAGCAGCCCAGGCCTCGCCCCCTGCGCCCCCCCCCCCCCCCTCTGCCGCTCCCACTCCTCCGGCCCGAAAGCGCCCCCAATACTGGGGGCCGAGGATGCTGACACCACCCCCCGCAAAGGTCCTGGTCCCAAAGACCGAATCGTAATGGAGGTCACGCTAAACAAAGGTATGTGGCTGCTCAGGTACACTGTACGACAGAGCAGATTGGGAACCAGGTGGAAGTATGAACAGGTGTCTAAGAGAAGCCCTCTGCACTGCCATTGGGGGGCGCTCTGTCTGTGTTTGTGCATTAATTATACTTTTATTGGCATTGTAATAGAAAAGGCCAAGTTTTTCCATCATGCTTTAAGAAAAGCTTCTTAGACCATTTTTAGAGTACAGGTTCTTGGCCATAAGTTCTTCATTTCTAGCTTCTGGGGGCCTTTGAGCATGGGCAGAGGCATTTTAACACCTGGCTGATGTTTTTATGTAACACAATCTGATTTTGGCAAGTTCCACGTGTCCCTGGGGCAGCGAGGGAGGGGTTTCGTTTCAACTTCTTTAACCAACCAATGTCTTCATTGTATGACATCACCACATTGGTCCTGTTTTCTCAAACTCCAGGCATCCAGCCACCTTATTATTAGTAGTAGTCATAGTAATAGTAGTAGTAGTAGTAGTAGTAGTAGTATCATCATTATGAAATAAAGATACACCCTTACATTGCTTTGTACAGCCTTTGCAGGTCAGCAGATTCCTATGTTATGTATCCATGACATAACCCTTAATGAAAGGCATACACAATAAAACAATCACTTTAGAAATATTTGCACCTTGTAGAAAACACTGAAAAACACTGGTTTTAATTACTGCGGTGATATCATATAAGGAAGACTGTGATTGGTTAAAGAAGAGATGTGCCCCTCCCTCGCTGACCCAGGGACACGTCAAACTTTACTGTAGACGTTTGGTGGTGGGGGTGCGTGTGTAACACGGCTGTGGTGTCTGGGGGGGTACGTGCCGTTTCAGAGCAAGGCGTGGGGCTGGGGATCGGGGCCTGCTGCCTGACGCCAGAGAGCGGCGTGCCTGGCATCTACACCCACAGTCTGTACCCGGGCTCCGTCGCCAAGATGGACGGCAGGCTCAGGTAAGCAGCCTCTTCCACGCCTTCGCTTTTATCTGGCTTTCGTCCATTTTTCGTCTTTTTTAAAATTATCCATCTGGTACCACTTTACAATAAGGCTCCCTTTGCCACTTGTAAATGGTAGTAACTCATCAATAAAAAGAAAACTGTTATAACTTGTTTAAAATTGTCTATTGATAATTTACAAAGTGTCACAACCTAATTAATAACCAGATTATAAACCATTCATAAACTCTTTATATGGGTAGTATTATTGTAAAGTGGCAACATCCATCTTTATTGAAACAAAGATTCTTCCATCAATATATGATTGATAGGAAACTAAGATCGATGAAACTGCAGTGAGTCCCTGCAGTGAGTCCCTGCAGTGAGTCCCAGAGCTGAAGTTTGAGTCAAACTTGGCATCTTGGGTGAGAAGAAAATAGCAGCAGATTTTCTCATAGTGCATTTATACCTTGTTGGCTCTCTAATTTGGGGAAGGGTAGGACAGCCCCCACAAAGCTTTGTCCCTGAAGACCTCCCTAACTAGACATGTGTCCTTACAGTGCATGTGACACGTCTGCATGATCTCACCCCGAGCTCATTAAAACGGGAAACGCAGCGACACCACACCTACGCTAATAGTAGAGGCTATGACATGTATTCACGGTGTCAGGATGCGGCAGACAAAGGAAACGCGTCTCTGAGTATCCCTGGATGTTTTTTCCAGCTTTCCTGAGCGCATGACCCTGCGGTTATAAGTTGTTTCTTCTGCTGAATCCTTTGTTAATGTTGAATGTCATTAGTGTTACGACTGATTCATTACAGTCTCTCTTCATCTTCCCTCACAGCCGGGGGGACCAGATCTTGGAGGTGGACTCGGTGAGCCTACGGCACGCGGTTCTGAGTGAAGCCTACGCCATCCTGAGCGAGTGCGGTCCCGGTCCGGTCAGCCTCATCATCAGCCGACACCCCAACCCAAAGGTGAATTTCTTGGCAACTAGCAATTTCTGCAACAGTGATCAAACCGGCGGCTGCTGGGTGACAAATACACATCCTTAATTGCTGTGCTATCTGCTGTTCCAACTTCAAATCTTAGTCTCTGTGATGTCCTATACCTCAGACTGAGCTGTCACGTGATGTATTCATCTATGTAAAGTCCAATGCACACAAGCTGAAGTTCTCATGCCTGTTAGTGCTGTGAGTTGTTGATGTGCTGATTACTGAATATGCCTATTTTATCTAGGAAATGATTATTGCACTTAATGTTGGAATGCAAGGTGATTTCAAATTTCAAATTTGAATTTCAAGAAATGGCTTATTTTTCTGGCTTGTGTTACAGCTTGTAGAAACAGAAAATTTAGGATGATAGGGCCGGGGTTGGAAATGGGGAGCGTGTAGCGATCTCTGAGCCTGGCAAACCTGAGACGCCCATGATAAAAGCACAAAAAAAACACAATGCAGACTTCCTCTCACTACATTCCAAATGAAATGCAATTCAGTTTAAAAAAACTGCTAATGTACGGATTATTCCGTAGCATGAATTATTTATACCCACATGTCTGTCAACAACATTCCTTCTACCTTATTTACATGAACGATTTTATGTCTACGCAAATTTTCTGTGGTTTTACTTTCCTGTGTTTTTTAGATGTAAAATGTAATGTATTGGTGGATTCTGGTGAAACCACACAGCCGCTTCCTTAACCAGTGAGGCGTGATTCTGATCTAAATCATAACAGAGTGGAGATGCCTGCCTAGTCTGTAAAGCCCTGCATGACAGGACACCTGTGTCCTTTCAAAGTTTACATTACTTGGAGGATGGCCCTTTTTCAGAGCTGAGCCCTGATTGGTCCACTCTGCACCTTTTTACTCTATCGGGCCGGTCAGTCGAGATAAGTCAGATAGAATGTTTTATTGCTGAAAACGACCAGACTCATTAAGACTCATTATTACTGTTAACGATCTGTAATGGGTTTATGACTGTTTAGGTCTGGGCTATGTTGCTACACTGGTTCAAATTTAAACGTTAAGAGAAAACGATACTGATGGCTGAATTTCTGTATTCAGATATGGAAAGTTCAGTTTCAGAAAGTTAAAATCCAGACTTTGTTTCAACCAGACCGTTTCGTGACTCTTCGTACTCAACTGGTTGGTTGAAACAAAATCTTGGTGTGGATCTGAACATTCTGAACCTGAATTTTCCACCTCTGCCTGTATGTTCCTAGGTTTTCCCAGTTCTGCATATGGTGCAATCTGATCCAACGTCATGTTCCAGAATACTTAAATAAAATTATCATCTAAATTTTAAAATGATAAATTGGGAATCTCAAAAGCAAGCCATTTGGAATCTGGGTCCATTACTTCATCCCTTTCTCCACTAGGTGTCCGAGCAGGAGATGGATGATGTGATCGCCCGCACCACGCACAGAGAAAGCTTGAGCAAAGACGGCCACTCGCTAGGTACGTGGCCAGTTGGATATCTGTTGCTATGACTGCTGTCGTTTATAGGGTCCTAATGCAGATTTCCTTCACCTTAAAACATGGATGTTATAAATCTTGGACGAGGCACACTTTATGAACTTTTAAGAGGATAATTATGTGTGTTGGGTAAGTACTGGGGTCCTTATCAGTTTTTGACATCCCTCTCTCATCCTGGCCGCCATTATGTTGGTGTGGCCTTGTGCTGTGAGTTTTTTCCCTTTTAGACATTATCTCTGTCCCTTTATCCCACCTGATCAGGCCTGTCCTGCAAAGGTTCTTCCCCCGCTGTGACTGCCAGAAAGAGTGATGGGTCCTCCCCTCTCAGCTGGACCATGAAGAGGTTCCTTGAGCCAGCAAGCAGGGTAAATGTGACGGTTTGACTTTGGGTTCCTGAAGTACATCCACACTCCTGGCTGGCTGGTGTTTATACAGGGATTACCCCCTGGATGGGTTGCCGGTCCATCACAGGGCACAGGGCTGGGGTACCGTACCCCCTGGATGGGATGCTGGTCCATCACAGGGCACGGAGCTGGAGTACCCCCTGGGCAGGATTACCGGAAATTTAGATTAACTGTGACCTTTCATTTTTCGGTCTGCCCTCATTGTCCAAATCAAATGTTACCTATGCATTAAATTTTCAGCTGTCACTGCTGTTCAGCTACGTACCCTTGCATTGTGTGTCTACACAGGAATCCTGGTCCTTGTCCTGAACCTTTCATTCTCTGTAGGGGTCCCTGAGCTCGGAGTCCGACGTTTTTCCTCAGTACTTTCCTCATGACGTCTCCAGCCAGTTCCCCCCAGCAGAAATCATGGTTTTGAACCCCAGCATCTGTAGCACTGCTGATCAGCCTACTGGTATGGGGTGTTTTTCAGCTTTGTGTAACTGCATTTTTACCGTAAACCTCCAGCAGGCCCGTCTTACCGTTTAATGACACGGTTCTATTGCCACCTTTCAGCTCTTCTTGGGGAGGGGAGCCGGCAGACCAGCGTGGGCAGCAGCACCGGTTCGGCCCATAGCCCTGTTCCGGTCCGCAACCCGCTCCGGCGGCAACTCCAAGTCGGCTGTTTCGAGGACAATGGCAGCAATGAGAGTGGTGACCAGCTGCCACAAACAGATAGTGGCTTTTACGGGAAAGCCCTATGCCCACAATCTGAGGACAAGGTCATTGTTGGGGGCGACGGCAGTGGAGTTGCCCCTTCCCCAGCAGAGGGCACCAAGGATGTGGACAGTTCGGTGAAGCAGGGGGCCAGTCCTGGGTTTGAATCTCTCATCATGAGTATAGAGTCACCCTTCCTTTCCACATTTGCCTCAGACCCCGAAGAAGCAGAAAAGAGCCATAATCTGCCAGGACCAAGTGATTCCCAGATTGAATCTGGACACACCCCTAAAATGGAGGACAGGGGCACCAAGGACACCTTGAGTGACATGTGTCCCTGCCCACTGCCGACCAACCAATCTGAGGGTGAGGACTTGTCCCCCTCGCTGCCAGGCCCATACTGCACCAAGGCAGAGGTGAGAGAGCTGACTGGAATATGCACCGTCGAAAGGATGGTCCTCCGGCGAATGGAAACCGATTCCTTTGGACTAGACTTGGAAGTCACGTCCTCCCCACTGAAAGTGCTTATCAAGGGTGTACAGCCAGGGGGCGTCGCAGAGAAGGTGAGTCGCTTAACTGCTTAACAAAACACAAGTCATTACAGAATTTTGTCACTTTGGTAGCATTTAGGGGAACTGCTTTTAACAGTTGTTCAAATTCAGCATCTGAAGTTCTTGTCTTTCTGTATCAAAATAGACAGAAAAATCAGTTACGGGCAGCATTTTTGATTGAAGGAGATTTGCGCAAACAGCGATTTACACAGGTTGCCACTTCGTTAGGTTTTACAGATGAAATGTAGCTTTGAGCTTTTAACAAGGTGAAGGATTTGCACGATGAAAATAAGAATTAGCTAAGCATATTGCTTATCAAAAAGCTTTCTGTGTAATTCAAACGCTAGAGCAGAGGATCTCTGTCGCCTGTGCATTTGTCAGACCAGTGAAATATCTTCCACGATGCCTTTTCCCCAGGAATCTGCGAGTAAAATCGCTGTTGGAGATGAGGTCGTGGCCATAGGAGACACCGAGGTCTCCGCCTCCTCTTACCAGGACCTCTACAGCCTTATGCAAAGCCTTCCCCTGACTCTAACCTTAGAGCTTAAGAGGCCAATTTCAGGTGAGCGTCTAATCCAACAGCTCTTTGTATCAGTTACTGTTCTGTAGCCTATAAAAATCCACTAGCTAAAAAACAGCTATGTGGACATGAGATAGATTAGTATATTGAGATAGTGTAGATTTTTGTACGATAATTTTGTCTTCTTTTAATCAGTTTGTCACTTTTGTAAAATGTTCCCCACAATCTTACTCCTACTGATTTCTTGATCTCGTTGTAGCAAAATAATGAGGAATTAGAGAGCAGTAGCAGAATGTGGTTGAATCTTGATTAGTTTAAACTGAAATTAAAAGAGCAGTCTTTCTTCCCTCATGCCGCCCAAAGGCGTGGGACTACGTCAGGTCTTTCCTTCCTGTCAGTATCTTTCCCCGCAAGGGAACTGCTCACAGCTGGCATTGTATAAATGGTGACTATCGACATGTTCATTCCTGTAAACTTGGTAGAGCACCTGAATGATAGCGTGCCCCCCCCCTGCCCGCTATCATTAGCCAATGTGCTACTGTATGGCATCATGTACAGATACCACCCCGCTGGATCGCTGTGAGTCACTTCTTGATCGCTGAGTGTTTGGCTGAAGCTGATGTCACCCATTGTAATACATATTGTAGATATGTGAGACGTATAAATTCACATACAGTGGATTTTGTTGCGGGTTTGAGTTTCCAGTTCTTACTGGAGAGCTCAGTTTGTTGGTGGATATTTCTACCCATAGTAGGCTTGTCACTGCAGTATCTTTGACCAATTAGGAACTAGCTGACTTCTCCCCTGGGGTGCACTGGGATTCTATCACCTCCTTGGCTTAGAGTAAGAAGTGCTCACAGCAATGGCAGCAACTAACAAGTCTGGAAAACATGCTTGTTTGTGTGTGTATGTGAACAGCTGTGCATAACTTGTGTGCGTATGTTTGTTTGTTTCGCTTAGTAATGAAGTTTAGGTTCATAAAACCATGTCTGGCTGCAGATCTGCTAACAAGACTGCCTGTGATTTGATAGTGATGCTTGTCAATCACAGACTGACAACCATCTCTCAATACACATAATGCCTGGAAATAGCCTTTGTGTTCAGTGTTTCACTGGTTTTAACCAGTAATTAGCAACTGAGTTGCTAAGGGGTCACCTCAAACTGCAAACAATGCTATGCTTTGGTAACAACAAAACATTACTTTCTTAGGGGGCATTTTTTGGCATTATTACATTCAAAATCAAACACTTAAAGGGCTTTGTTTGTTATTTGATGTTTCCCCTTCCCTAATGCACAGTATTGAACCTAGAACATCAGAATTATGATGAGTCAAATGCAGAAACTTGAGCATTATAGATCAAAACTGAGTGGACTACACAGGCTTTCAAAATGTGGAGCAAGGTTTTTGCTGTCTTTGCACGGCTGAATAACAGCTACATAATTCTGTTTTGTTTCTAGCTGTAGATCAACTGTCTAAGCAATCAGGCACAGACAGCAGTTCCAAAATGGAGAACACTATAACACAGCTGGAAAATCCTGAGGGTGAATTAAGGAGAGAGGACACCCCAGACCTAGGAAGCAATTCCATGGAGATTAATTCAACACAAACTGTCGAAACAAATCACAGGGATGAGATTCCTGCCACCAACATCGACACAGAGTTGAGGTCGCCGGAGGAGACCCATGAAAGTGCAGACGTAGTTGCTGCTGTGACTTCACATATTAATGGAACAACTACCTCAGCTGAGGATAGTAACACACTAATTAGCAGTGAATGTGGTACCACTCAACCTTTGACCAGGCCTAATGTTCTTGATTTCTCTCTTTTGGATCCAGGAAGTAAGGGCCTACTGTTGCCTGTCCGTAAAGAATTTCTGTGTAACTACTCTAGAAACTTAAGCACCCTCAATGATAAAGAAACTTCTGAGAGTAAGCACAGAAATAGTGATTCTTCAAAGAACATGTACAGTGTATTGGACAGCGATTCCGAAAGCGATTCTACCACTGAAAATTCTCAGCAGGGAGACAGCACAAAACATGCCAATCCTCAGCCGTGTGCTGGCAGCGAGGCGACAGACGAGGAAGGAGAGAAGGTGGAGATCTGCCATGTTGACTCCAACCCTTCTGACCAATTGAGCCAGACAGCGGATGGCAACCTCAACGATGGACCTTCACGCACTCTACCTGGGAATGTGAGCTCAAGCAACCAAAGTATGAAGATAGGGAACTCTTCTGATGTCTGTCAAGGGGAGCCTCCACTTCATTTACGGAAAAAAGATTCAAACTGCATTTCCTCCAGTCAATCAGACCAAGAACTGACCAGGAATCAGTCTAAGCCTCTGCATCATCAATGTCCTCCTGTGATATCCTACTCCAAGGAGCACGTGTTTAATGGAGTAAACCCATCGGTATCTCCCAAAAAACCACTGAACTCTCAAAATTCTCCATCCATTGGTATTTTTTTCTCCTCAGCACAAGAGACTTTCAATAGCAAAGAGAATATGTGTCAGTCATCCAGTCAAGTGATGGCACCACCAAGAATAGGAAGCTGTGAAAACAGCACTAAGATGTTGTGTCAGAAGGTGGTGACGTTCTACACAACATCAGTGACAGTTCAGCCAAATGAACCATTATCTTCAGATAAAGCTTCTCAGCTGGAACTGTCATCCACTCTAGCAGTTACAGAGTCAAATGGTCATGTGAATAGCGAAGACACATTCCTCCAAAATGTGTCAACTAAATCTACTTCAAAAGACAAGGTGGCAGAGAAACTGGAAATTAAAATTGACTCAAAATCATCTGCATCACAGGTACAAAGTAATTTGGGGAGAAGTAGCTCCATGATGTCATCTCATTCCACCAATGGTGTCAAGAAAGACAAACCAGAAATAGTAAGCAACTTGGTATCAAAATTGATTAGTCTCAGTAATAAAACTGGAAATAATGTGAAAGAAGAGAAAGAGAATAAAGGTGAATCTTCTGAGCCGAATAAGTCATCGGTACCTCCCCTTCAGTCTCCTGACCTCCAGTCTAAGACGGTTTCCGTCATAAACAGTCCACAGGAGAAAGCTGCCCCTAAGTCACCAAAAATCTGTGACCATCAGCAGAACAAGACAGTGCCCAAGCCTAAGCAAACACAAAAAACTACAAGACTGCAGGCGGAAAATGTCCCTAAGGGACAATTTGGGGACAAAGGGAAAAAATCCACGGCTCACAACACAAAGGGAGACCTGGACTCCTTACCGAATGACCCCTCTTCTGAAACCATTTCAAAACCTGATGACAAGCCGAGATCAGTCACCACTCAAAGGAGCTTTATTGAAGTGCGACTCTCTTCCCCTCCCAGTTCTTCAGTGTCCACACCTGTTCTGAGGCAGAAGGGAATTCAGGAGAAGTCAGTCATTAAAACTGACTCAAACTGTACTTCTGGTCTGAGCAAGAGGAGTCTCTCAGGAAGTAAAGATACACAGGCTTCTCAGAACAGCCAGGCAGAATCTCCCACTGCTTTGGGTGGTATGCATCAGTTCAGTGCTGTTCCAGATAACACAGACCTTGATACAGAGGTTTTATTAGAAAATAACCATGTCTGCGTGAATAAAAGTCTGGTAGATGAAGTCTTTAAACCTAATAATTTAACAGAGAAAAGTGACAATCTTAATGCCAGCCAAACTAAACCATACTTTCCCAAGTTGGCCCGTCGAAGCTACTCCACAGATTGTAGCGTACCCCTAGACTCCAATTCTTTCTCTGTTCGGCAAAGAATTAAATCCTTCGAGAATCTGGCCAGCTTTGACAAGCCCGTTGTCAGGAGTATCGACACGCAGTACTACGCTCTTGCTTATACTCCGAAACCTCCTCTGAGCAGGAGGCTGTCTGGTTATGCCGGATGTGGAAGTTCATACTCCGTCGACAGTCAGACCTTTAGGAGGAGCGTTAGCTGGAGGATCTCCAGCCCACCCACCAATGCGCTTACAGAGAAGAAGCCCGTGGTCACTGCGTCTCAGCTGGAGCCGGCTCCCGTGGCACAGACACCCCCCGTAGTTCGCCGGAAGGTGGCCCGGGGCCCTTCCAGCTTGTCCCGCTCCAGACTCAGGGAAGTGAGGGCACTGAGCATGCCCGACCTGGACAAGCTTTGCACTGACGATTTTTCGAGTGAGGAGGTCGTGGCCACTTTCAAGACTGAGCCCACAAGGGGTGATACCAGCCTGTCAGAGTGTCTCAATGGCTCTATCTCTACCTCGTCCAAAACCTCGAGTTTCCCAAGGGCTGGCCCAAATGAGAAATCAGAACCAGGATTGATATCCAAAGAGTGCTCCTCTCAGGAAAACTGCAGTGACAAGCAGGCTTCTGGCAGCTGGTCAATCAGGTTTGTATGTTTTTTTTTTGGTTGATTTTGCTTTGATTGTGCAAGAATCTAAAAAATTTTACTTGTAGTTCAGGAAAAATGGCACCCCAGCAAAAAATAAAAGTTACAGAGTGAAGAAAATGGTTAGAAGCACCTGAGTTTCTCAAGTTGTTGTAAGCGATGCAAGTTGCGGTGAATGGAAATGCAAAATTTATCATGTAACGTCTTAACTTTCCACGCTACTGTCTGTCATGGATTTTAGCCAATTAATAACCTTCACAAGTTGCAAAAAAGCTTAATGTTATACAGACAAATGTGATGTGGTTATGTATGAACTAAAATGTTGGAGGCAGGAAGACAGATTTATGTCTCTGGAAAGAGGTACACATGGATCATTGCCTTTAGCCAGTAACAATATAAATTACTCCCACTCAAGGTCTCCCAAGTTGTAATATTAATTACCATGATTTATGAAATATAAGCAAGCTGTTTATTGCTATGACTAGTTGAAAAAATTTTAAGCACCCAAAGAATTTTAATCACATATATTTTTTTTATACTATTTAAGAGCTAAACTGTGTGTGACATTCTAGCATGGTAAACCTGAAACAACCCAAGCGGTAATAAAGACTGCTTAATTAGATCAGTTAGGTAAATAATGATTTAAATAAAATCTCAAAGCAATTAGGTATAATTAAGGAGTAGAAACAACCTGTAGAATAAATGAGTGATATGTGTGGTCTGCTGGGCCTCTGGGATTAATAGCAAGGCCATGCTGGGGCTTAGATTAAAGGACTTTATAAATGTAATCCAGTAGGAATGGATAAGATTTAACAAAGGAGAGATATATATATATATATATATATATATATATATATATATATATATATATATATATATGTATATATCTATACATATATATATATATATATATATATATATATATATATATATATATATATATATATATATATATATATATAACAAAAAAATAAATAAAAGCAACAAAAAAAATGATATCAATCAGTTGTATTGTATCATTCAGAAGTATTTTCTGACACACACATTCTCTCAATGTTCCAGAGTGGAGCAATCATATGAGATGCATATTGTACAGGCCTGGAATTGACTGTGTTTGCTGTGCTTCTGTCCCACCAGTTTGAGAGCACTGAGCACCTCGGCACCGGCCCAGAGCAAGCTGCAGCACCTGCTGAGCTCCTGGGACCCCAAAGCAGATGTGCCGACCCTGGTCCGAGAGGCCGAGGCCCTGGCAGAGGTAACGTGGCCGCGCGTTGCTGGAGGTCTCTGCAATGTCTCATAGCTCTGAAGATTCCTGGGGTCCCTAAGCAGCATCAGCCATCAATGGTCTGTCTGAGGGACCTGAACTAGATGTTCTTCTGTCATGCTGTGCATTTACCAGGCAGCTTGAGAAACTTCTCTCATCACACCCATCCAGGGATTTTAAACCTTCAGTTTCCCATCTCTAATAAACTTGAAATAAATAATAAAAAGTAAAAATTTCTGTATCTGACGGTAATTAATATGGTTTAACCAAGCAGGGAATACACTACTTGCTTCTAACAATGTAAATACTACAGCACAGTATTGTTTTTGTGATTTGGACAATGGCTGGTCCCTGATTATTAGTACATACCAAGTATAGCACCAAGCCTGGTACCCACGCCAAGAACAATAGCAAGAACTGAAACTGGGCAGGTTTTAGAGGAAACTTTGTCAGACTAATATGGTTTTATGAAAGGAAGTTCTCAAAAGGTCTTTCAAGTTTTTATTTAGTACCCTTGAAATCATATGTATAGCTCTCTAGCAAAATATAAAATTACATAATATAACCCTCATTGCTGCAGTTTAATTTGTTATTGAGCAGTTCAGTGCTGCACAAGGTGACAGATTTATTATTTATTTTCCAATGTCTCTTCTGTTCCCAACCACCCAGGATAAAGACGATATTTACTTTGTGGTCTTGACTAAAGAGGAAGGCTCTGGTCTGGGTTTCAGCATTGCTGGAGGAGTGGACTTAGAGCAGAAATTCATCACGGTGAGAAATGGGACTTGTGTATTTTTTGGCAGCCAGGTGTGGTGATTTTTGACCTTTTTCCACCTTTGTGGATAATAGAATATTCTAGAAGTGTGTTTTCAAAATCACCATGCCCGAACCTGTCTGTGTAACTTATGTTACACATATGGTTAATTAAAATTTATTTTCAGAAACTTTCTGTGTTTCATTTTTTAATGAAATGTGTGATTTCACCCTCCCCCCAACCTGGATTGTGGGAAAATAATGAAAGAATATTATGTCTAAATGTGACCTGCAGTGCTGTCAACCTGATTCTCAGCAATTGGGAGATTTCCCAATATGCATCTTGTGCAGATCAATCAATTTTATAATCAGTACAAGAAAATTATTAGTTATATAATCATAAGGTATGCATGCAGATATCTGTATTTTGCCTATAATCATCAATGTTTGTGGAAAATACATATATCCAAAAAGTAAAAACATAATTAAATAATCATTAAAAGGATTTAACAAGATGCCAAGCAAAGACCATGTGGTTTTGTTTATGACTCTGACCTGAAGCAGTGTTTGAGAGAGCGGTCGCTTGTATCATGAAGGAGCGTCAGGCCAACGTGACTGTACAAATTCCCTCCTTCAGTTTCTCTGTCATGATGTTTCTCCATATAGTGGGATATATACAGCTCTGGAAAAAAAATTGAGACCACAGAAACATTTTTAGTTTCACTGTTTTCTCAGTTTATGGGAATGCATCTGTTTAAATGATACATTTTTTGCTAAATCCAGCCTGACTCTACCCTGGTTCTCATTGATGAAGGGCTTCTGCCTTCCTGTATGGGTCTTTAAGGGTTTCTTGGAGTCCTAGCTGTCCTGGCAGTGCACTTCACACCGCTTAATATTTCCCATTCTTTTTGAAGGTCACTTGAGCTCATCCTTTGATTTATGAGTCACTGTTGGATAAGTTGACGGTCATCTTTAGCATTAGAAAGTTGCTTCTGCCCTCTACCTGGCTGGTTTTTACTTATTGTCTCCTGCTTCATCTTATTCTGGTGTACTGCTGTCTTAGAAACTTTGAGTCTGAAAGCAGCCTGCAGCACAATGTAGCCTTCTGCCAGCAGAACCAGGAATAAACCAGGATTATAAGATTCGGATTCTTAAAAATTATAGAGTGGTCTCTTAATTTTTTCCAGAGCTGTATATAGATATTTTTTCTTTGCATGCAACTCTGGATCTAAAGTCTATGCAGTGCCTGTCTTCATGTTGTTTCTCATTTTCAGAGCCAGACACATTTTAGTGTATTTGAGCCAGTTTCCCTACCCTCTGCATAGTGATGGCCAATTTAAGCTTCATGAACCACTTGCTGTATTTCCTGACCCCACTAGATGGTGCTCTCTATTCAAAAAAGGGCTCAAAGGATGCCCCAAAGCAAACCAAGAGCACCATCTAGTTGGGTCAAAAAATACAGCAAATGGCTCATGAAGCTTCATTTAGGCATCACTACCCCTGCACTCCCATCTACCTTGATGAAGGAAATCCTAAATTCAGCTGTGATTCATCCTCAGATCTGTGCATCAGGCTAATCTGTTTGCTCAGCTGCCTAAGACTGATTTGCTTTATCCAAAATGGCAAAATACATAAAATCATTTAGGCAAAAAGGAAATGGTGTTATTGCAATCAGAACATTTTCAATGTCAGCGTATATAATAATTGACCACCATGTGACTATGTGGACAGGTCCATCGAGTCTTCCCCAAAGGGGCGGCTGCTTTGGAAGGTACCATTCAGCGCGGGGACCGCGTAGTGTCCATCAATGGCACTGCTCTGAGAGGGACCCTACACAGCGAGGCACTGTCCTGTCTCTACAAAGCCCGGCGGCCACAGCAGGCGCTGATCGTGATTCGGAATGTGAAGGATGTGGAGCCTTCATCCCCCCGGCAGGCCCAGTCTGGTAGAACTGGAATACGGACGTTATCTTCCAGTGATGTAGCACTAGAAGCAGGACCCGGTGAGTGAGCATGTAGATCAGTGGATGATGCTTTAAGTATAGTCACTGCTTTACCTAGTGCGCTTCCATGGATTCATTCGGCTTTGTTGAGTACCCATGTGTTCAGCATGTTTTCATGTGAACACTTGGTGCTTCTGTAGTGTTTTAAATGACTGTTTAGGTGCCATGAAGCCTCTGCTCTTGTTTTGCAGCTGTGCAGGTGGGTCCAGATGGGGCACTGAGCGTGGAGCTCCAGAAAACCTCAGCGGGCTTGGGCTTCACCTTGGAAGGGGGGAAAGCTTCTGCCCAAGGGGATAAGCCTCTTATTGTCAAGCGCTTGTTCAAGGGTAATCCTGAGGAAGCATGACACTGCCTGGGCTGGCGATTATGGGTTTAACGTCTCCGATCTGCAGGGCCGCAGGATTACATGCTGTCTCACCCTGACATGAGTCACTTATGCAGTGCAGGGTCATGGTGAGACTGCAGTCAATTCCTGGAAACGCAGAACAGGAGGCAGGGGATTCCGGTCCACCACAGGGCGCGTGCGCACACACACACACACACACGCACACACACGCACACACACACGCGCGCACACACACACGCGCGCACACACACACACGCAAACACACACACACGCATATGCACACACACATACACACACACACACATGTAGGGTAAACATATCCTTATGGGGACCGCTCATTCATTTCAATGGGAAAAATGCTAACGCTAACTATGACAACCTTAAGGTTGTCATGTTGTGATTAGAGTTTTCCCCACAGAAGTGAATGGAGAGTCCCCACTAAGATATATTTATAAACCTGTGTGTGTGTGTGTTTGCGCACGTGTATGTGTGCGCGCGCATTTTGTGTATGTGTGTGTGTGTGCGCGTGTGTGTGTGTGAGCGTGTGAGCGGGTTTACCTATCTTTATGGGGACATGATAAATATCCGTTTTTTTCCCTTATGGGGACCGGTTTCTTGGTCCCCATAAGGGAAAACTCTATTTTATAAAAATCGATGACTGCCATGAAAAAACTAAAAATGCAAAAACTCTTGTATTTTGTTAGGTTACTTATGGTTATGGTTAGGGCAGGGTAGGGGTTAACCCCTACCCATCCCTAACCTTAACCATAAGTAACCAAACAGAATATGAGAATTTTTTTGTTTTTTGATTGCAGTGAAATTTAAAATCTAGTTTTCCCTCATGCTGACTGAAAAAATGTCCCCACAAGGTCAAAATAACAGGTTTTTAATCACATTGTGAGGACAATTGGTCCCCACATTACAGTATATTATATACATAACCCATACATTCACACACACAAACACAACCATCAGTCATGCCATTGAAAACCTTTCCTAAATTGACCCCAGTATTCGCAGTGACCCTCCAATAAAGCCATGTGTCTCTTCACTTGACCATTACCCCACCTCATATGGCTAATCACCACCTCATTGACTTTTTAAAAACAATTAAATTAATCAATTAAGTGAACTGGTGGTGAAATGTAACAAACACGTGGAATGACTGAGGTGCCCAGGAGGAGGGTCTCTAACCGTTCAAAAGATACCAGTAACTTTCTGGAGAAAAGAAGAAATTCATGTCAGTTTTTATTGTTACTCTTAATTTGCATATGCTGTAATGATGAATTGTAATTATTGTTCAGAATAAACATTTCTTTCCTTCCCAGATAAATAGCTTTAAACATTTCCTTTGACTGTCAGTGACTTTCGCACAATGATTTTCATCAGTAGGTTTCACAGAATGACAAACTTTACATGGGGAGCCATTGCCGTATACAGCAAATTTGCATATGATCAGTTTAAATGTCATTGATTTAAGTGTCCTTTTTGTTTTTTTCCTGGGTCTTCTTCAGGTGGCTCTGCAGAGCAATCAAGGGCCATCGACGTCGGAGATGAAGTTCTGGCCATCAACGGGAAGCCCCTGCAGGGTCTGATGCACTATGATGCCTGGAACGTTATCAAAGCGGCGTCCGATGGGACCGTCCAGCTGCTGATTAGGAGACCGAGGACCACGGTGTGAGTCGAGCTTCCCGACACCGAGCCTGACTGAAGGCGCGCAGTGCAGCGGACGGGGACCCACCAGTGTTAAAATAAAAGGACTCAACTACAGATCATTTCATACGCATCTATTAGCAAACTGCTTTAAGCACCTTAATCTGACAAAAGTAAACAAAATGAAGATTTCTCGTGCAGAGAAAAAAAACACAACATTTTTAGAAGCTAACGACTCCCATCATAGACGGTAGGGACGATGTTTTCAGTGGCTACACAGGGTACCTCTGTCTGACTGTGCTGCAGAAGAAGCGTACTGCTTGGTTAGTGTGACTAACACGTGATACCTGAACACACTGCTGCCTGTGAGATTTCCACAAGGGTGTTTTTTCTTTCTGGGAAACGATAAAAAATGCCTTTGGGCCTGCATTCCTGACCCTGTGGCCAATGGGGGACACCTGTAGCAGGCTGATTCTGGGTGGCTGGCTGTTTTGTAAGGGGCTGACCTTGGCAATTGGTCCCAGTTAGAAGTTGATCATGAGAAATAATTTTCAAAACTGAATTCCCTTGACTGGCCTCCCATACTTGAAATGCTCCTGTATTCATATTTAAGAATCACCTGAGGGGGGAAAGGAAACTCATTCCATTACTTGGGGATTGTTGTTAATATGTAAAAACTTAACTGTAAAATAATGACAGTATGCTTATTTAGATGACAGTATGCTTATTTGTTTGTGTTTGTGATTTACACTTTCGAAAAGTGTATCTATTGTCCCTGTTAATGTAAATAGGCATCGACCAGTGAGGTTCAGCTGAGGTCTGCCAGTAAAGAATAAGCTTTTACCACTCTTGTTTGAGCTCGGTCAAAAGAGCATAATTCTCTGAACTAATGGTTATGAGCCCTGTAAGATTCCGAATTCCACAGTACTGTAGACATCCAAATATGAGGTTCCAAGGCGCTATATTTCTGTCATTTATTTTTGCATTTTTTTTTTTTGCGGACCTTTTTTTTTTTCAAAACACACTTTTTTCTGCATTTGTAAATGATAATAATAATAAAATGTATGCTTTTCTTACGGTTTTTGAGCCAGGTTTTCTGGAAGACCTTGTAAGAAATGAATGATGTAAATTCACCATAAAATTACACTTTTTAGCCACAACAATTGCACCATTATCATGCAAAAAAAGTCATGCAGTACCTTAGTGAAGAGACCAGATCACAGATGTTCTCTGTAAATTGTATACAATCCCCAGATAAGAATGTAAATTATATTCATCCAGTTCTGTTGAATATTGTAAAATGTGTGTAAGGTGTACTATATTCTTTTTAACCATTTCGTTATTGTGGATTTTGGATTTACATCGCTTATTTGAGTATGTGGTGACATAAAATATTTTGTGGATTTAATCTGTAAATTAGACCCATACTAATATAATATCAGATTAAACTTAAGCTCTGTGGCTCCAAGTCATATGTTTTATGGCATTTTAAAACATGACGTACCAATCGCTATTAAAAAATATATTTTTGACTTGCTGTGTAGAATATTATATTGCACAATAAAAAGACCTGAAATGTCTCAAATACATTTTAAGTTAAGAAAATCCACTCAATAAATTAGTTTATTATGGAATATTAAGCAGGTGATATCTGTGATGCTTTTGATTGACAAGATAGAGCTACTTTCAGCTCCCAGGTTCTTTTCACTCATGTCGGATTTCCTGAGATGCCGAATTCTAAAGATGCCTCCTATCGTGTACCTTCAATAAAATGGTAAAATCACGATTATGTTTGACATCTAACATATGTCACGTAAATGGGTATTTGTTTTGCTACGTTTAAGTGTGATAAATATTGTAGCATAAACTTTCACCTTTCACCTTCTGGATGCTGAGCTCCACAAGATGTTTACAGGTTATAAGGACACTACCTACTGGGCGGAGATCCCGCGATGGACCCAAGACATCATATCGGGGTTATAACTGCCGGCTGACTTGAGAACGCTTAGGGATCCCCAGAGAGAGGTAGCGTCTATAGCCACAGAAAGGCAGGTTTGACCTGCTTGACATGCTGGTCCTGTAATCCTCACCAGGAGAGGCAGTATGAACACAGCAAAAGGTGCCCATTATTCCTATTGTTAGTGAGCCCTCTACTGGATTTTTCAAATAATGCATGATTAAATTCACTCCACTTTGTCCCTTTTTTCTGAAAACTTTCATGTTCTAAATTCTACTAATAGTCAGTTGGACCAACTGTAATGTGGATATCATGGCAAGGACAGTACTGAAAAACAAAGTGTGCAGTTGAACATCTAAATCTCCCTTCATTTCCACCGAATCTTATTTTAAAAGGCGTAATTCCATTTGAAGATCCAAGAATCCTTTATTTGTGACATACATGGTTAAACAAGTACAACATGTACTGAAATGTACAATCCAGCTCTAGGCATATTTGTTGGGCTCAATGGATGTGGTTGAACTTTGTAGGTCATCTGAGGAGCCTGGGGTTTTGGTTACCACATTCTGGAGCAGCATCCATCACTTGGCTTGAAAATGCAACAGAACAGAATCATACCGGGCCTGCAGCAGCCTTGGGACTAAATATCACATTGCATTACTCAGGCCCTTTAATACCAACTTATTAATGAACTCACTGCCAGTGTGCTCAAGAGTAGTAAAAATGCTTCGGTTCTGTAAATTTATCGATATCATCCATCCATCTTCTACCCCTGGTCCAGGTCATGAGCAGTCTTGAGACTCTGAGTGCACAGGGCTCAAGGCTGTGGTACTGCTTAAACCCAACCCCAGGCCATCACGGCGCACAGACTGCACATAAACACACGCGCACACACACACACACTACGGAAAATTTACAGACGTTAATTAGCCTAAGTGCATGTCTTTAGGCTGCAGGAGGAACCCTATACAGAAAAACATGTAGGGTAGCAATCCTACATTTGTGAGGCAATAGAGCCAACCACTGAGCCACCATAACACCCACTGCTACCACCGTATCAGAAAATCTGTCCCATAAAGCAGTACAGCTGCTTTTGAAATTCTATCCTCTCATAAACATCAACACGTCCTTAAAGCAAAGTAAACTGTACAAGTCCTCATTTCTCAGCAAAGTAGATTAAGATACTCCTAGTGAAGCATTTGCAGTTTTACCGTCGTCCCTGTCTTCTCCCAAGACTGTCATTATTATACATCAACGATGGGAGTTTTATAACCATAATGTTAGCGCTGTCAGATGTTTTTTGAGGCCTAGTACATGTTTTAGCGTGCAGAGGAAATTGTTTGACAAGCTGTCTGACATTTCCCGGTTCCCAAACAGTTTCAAAAATTATTCCGAAAGAAACACATGACAACAGCTAGCTGGAAGGTGAAGAGCTGTATCATCCACTCGGAAAGTTAATTTGCTATTATATTTATTTATATTCTAAAAAAACAGCTTCACTGCATTTGAAAGCAGATAGATTTAAGATATTTTTTACATTTTTCCCCATTTTCAAATGAGCGGTTTAAAACTGGCAACAAACGATCAATATCAGTTTCAGGTACATTCTTCACCATTCTATTTACACACTGCTAAATGCAAAAATTCTAATATTAAATTAATTTAAATTAAACAAAAAATATCCATGTTTTACCAGTTACACACAGAAATATGTAATGCGTTATGTCGTTATAACAAATTATTTGCTTTTGAAACCAAACAGAGTACATATGCAAATTGTAACAGTGTTTTTCAGTTATTAACTCAGCAAGCATTAGGTATAACTTCCTGCTCTTTTCAATGGTAAATGGATAATCAAAATAAATTACATGAAACACTGGGCTAAAGTCTATGCAACCTGTCAATGAAGGCTTTCCAAACTACAATATGACTTAAGATGATTTAGCAAACACTATCAATGTTTCATGTCCTTGACAATGACATAGATAATGCTAATGTATCGTGAACAGGTGATATTTTGTATGGTTATTCTAGTGTCTTAGTCTGTTAAGAGGCACCTTACAGAGGACCTATTTAATATATTATCTAGTAACATCCAGTATGTGTTTATTCATTCAACCACAGAATGGTCCCATTGCTTACGCCTGACAACACTGTACAGGTGATCAAGAAAAAAAAAACCTGTTTCTTTGCACCACTTTGATGGAAAGTATGTAGCTATAACAGGCTATACAAAAATAAAAACTATTATTATTGGTATACAAAGACAAAACTGGAACTACATTAAAACTAAAATAAAACCCTGATTTCCTTGACATGTACGTTAAGATTAGTGTTAATGATTCAATAAAAATCAAGCAAAATAAAAGTGTAAAATATGTTCCTGTACTGATGACTGTCACTGCTCCAGCACTGGTACACAGCATAAATACATCTATCTCAAATAAAACTTTAATTAATCCCTTTGGCCTTCAGCTCTTCTTGCACACGGCTTAGGTAACCCGCATCAGGGTAACCAAAGCTACAGTTGGGGAAAGGGGGGGGGGGGCATTTCCTTTAACAGATGACCATTTCATCCTTTAATCAAATTCATGTACAGAGATATATATATCGAACTCATTAGAACTTGAATGTCTTAAAAATCGAACCAACCAGTTTGGAAAAAAAAAATTACCTAGAACTCGATCTGAATCTCAGAAGTCAAACCGTGAACGCCGACCTAAGATAACTTGTACACGCAGGGAAATGAGTCACGTGGCACGTCTTTCAGCGGAAACAAAGGGTAAGACTTCAGTCTCAGCCTCGCATTCACTGTGATAGCATCATGCATATTTACACTAGCTGAATACATATATTTGGACAGTAAAAATAGTCTCTCATTGTCTAAATGTAACAGTAATTATTATTATATAATAAAATACATTTAAAAATAAAGATTTCTTATTAATTATTTTAATATTAATATTAAACCATTAATACATTTAATTATAATAATATTGTCGTGCCCAGCGGGGACGGAACGGAGACAAAGGCGCAGACGTCAGGGTATCGGAGGATACGGGGTTTAATTACAGGTAAGGCAGGCAAAACGCAGACGGACAATACAATGACCGGACTGGGGAAACAAACTGAAACGCGGACTAAATACAGAGGGCTAATGAAAACAACCTGAAACAGCTGATCACACGGGGATTCCACACGGGGTTAACGAGGGGGTGTGGCACACGGAAGGAGCGGACGATCGGGGCATGACACATTGTTGTTGTTTTTTTTAACTTTACACATTGTTTGGATACATTTATTTGCTTACTTTAAAAATTACTGTTTTGATAAATGTGCCTAGATGTATTTAGTACAGTATATGCTTTTCTTTTCTTGTCCGGTTCATTTTGTGTTTAAATGCTAAAAAAAAAAAAAAAAAAACATATTTCGGTGTAATTTTTTGAGGCTGGGAAGCAATTAATTGGTTTTCCATTATTTCTTATGGGGAAAATTTGATCAGAACTCAAACATTGTAGGATACGATCCGGAGTTCTGAACGGATTAATTTCAAGTTCTGAGGTACCACTGTGTGTGTATAATATATATATAAATATATATAAATGTAATCAAACTACATTAAGCTGCTACATTGTGTCAGGCTATTCATCGAGGATAATGTTACACTTACTTGGTGGGTCCACCTTCCCGGGATGTTTTGTGGTGAATGTCATTCCACGTGACCACGTTCCTCCTGCCTGTGGTGGATGACTGACCAACAGTGAAGATAAGCCGCTGCTCAAAAGCCCGCTTTAGAAGACCGAGAACCTTCCTGCCCTCAGGCGAGTCAGGAAGAAAGGCAATCCGGGACACTCCTTCGTAGCTGTGGCCTGGACTGGGGTGTTCCTCCTGAACAACACAGAAAACAGAGAGATACATCCTGCACACAAAGAATGTAAACCGCTGTCAGAAAATTGCCCTCATAACCTGAAATGTCAAACCTAAGTATCTCATTATAGTAAAGAATATACAGTTTATGTCCCTAACCACAAATCAAGATTGCGTACAATACAACAATGTTGGGAATTTTAAAAAAAAATAAAAAAAACAGAAAAACTTGTTTAACTGTCATAGGTAAACAAAATTTGGTAGGTGGCACAGAATGCCAAAGCACTGACAAAACGTAGAGGCTACTAAGGAATTCATGAAACAAAATAAAAGTGATTTGAATATTAGCTTTTGGCCCAAAAAGATCTTTAAAAAAAAAAAAAGAAAAAAAAAAGAAACCCATAAGTATTTACCCATAAAATTAATTTTTAAAGACTACCTGAAATGAACTTGCACGTACTCACCCCCTGAATACCACTGGGTACGTAATATCGAATTATAATGGTTCCATATTTTTCATTTCCTGGTAGCGGAGTTGACATTGTAGAGACATCCATAGAGGCATTTACTGGTTGATTGCCTTTCAATCTGCCGTAGACTATCCCACAAACTGGGCAGACAGGTTTCGAAACAAAAGCCATCTTCAAGCAGTCTTTACAAAATGAATGATGGCATGAAGGCAAGGTTTTCATGTTGGGCATCTTCAAGATATCCAGACAAATAGGACAGGTTTCCTGTTCCTCTCCCTGCTTCTTCGTAGCTGCTGATGGACCAGGCGAATCACCATATGATTCTTGTAATCTCTGTTCTCCTACAATTCCCTGAGAGGTTTCCTTCTTTAATCTCAAATCATCTTCGTGGTTTTTAAGTAGATTGCTGGTGAACTGAAGTCCTGAACCTTTCTTTTCAGTTAACTTATTTTGCTGTGATAGAGACAGATTCGAGTTGTGTGTACGTGCCGTATTTTTTTGGACCTTCGTATGGTCAACGTTGTCTTGCATTTGGATGCTATGGGAATTTGAGCTTTTAAGCAAAGAGATGTTGCAAATAGTTTCCTCAAGTTTTTCAAAGGAGCCGCCAGTTTCATAGCGTTTACTGTTGATCTTTTTCATTTTTTTATTTAGAAACTCAAATACTCTCTGTTTCTCTTCAAAGGCTGACACATCAATAAAAAGATGTGGATTGGAGAATATCTGTAAGGAAGAATATAACAACACAATAAATTGCATAATCCAAGAAAGTCGTCAAACAGTTTTTTCAACTCGTTGTGGAGAATTACGGTGTGCCTTCAGTGTCAACGCTCATCAAGGATTCAGTTACGCTTTAATACCGCAGGTAGTTGATTTGCTGAATACGCGTAAAAAGAAATTTAAAATACTGCCACTTCAGATGTTTTGTGAAACACTGCATGGGCATTTACGATTACGTACGCATTTTTCTGTAAATCTAAGCTTGTTTCTGTAACGAAATTGGCTGAGTGGTGTCTAATATATATCTTTTAAGCGTAAAGCTGACATGTGCTAAAAAGCATCGACCTCGCTTTGATCGATAGTTAAGCTACTAAAGACAGTAGATGAGGATATTACGGGGTCGTGCTATAACCAATTGATTGTTTGCAACGCTTAATAACTAAAAATGAAGTACAAGACAACGTATGTACCTAGTATAATGGTGTGGGTTTATCCGAGGTTTGTTTAACTAAGTATAGTAACAATGTACACAAATTCCATAAACATTAACTGAAATGCGGTGCCTTCTAGTACAAGCTATGCATAGATCTAACGTAAACCTACGATTACGTTTAACCTGGTGATGCTACATATAGTTTTATCGTTTTAAAAAAACTTAATTTCATGCCAAGACTGGGACATCGAAAACTCGTCGAATTCATAAAATACGCGGCAATATATTTTTCATGTTTTGGTGCCAATAAGCACCTTATGACCGCGGAATTAAAAGCATGCGTTCATAACATGAATATTTCAACAAATTGCGTACCTCTGTAAATGGCGGGCTTGCCATGTTACCGGCGAAAATAAGATAAAAGATACTCCAGCATGGACAGAAATGTTGAAACTGCTACTGCAACAACAAACTGCTCGCAACCCAGGCATAATTTTAATTGGACAAACCGGGTAAGCCCGCCTCCTTCGGGCACACTCATTGGTTTATAGCAAAATCCATCAAATTTCACAAAAAAACGAGCGAGAACGAGAAACTTTCGCTTTTGCTTCTCAAGTGAGTCAAGTGGGTCTTTTTGCGCATGCGCGACAGAACATTCTGTGCGCTCATTAGCCAGATGTATGAAGAAAATGTACCCATGTGTTCGTTCGTTGTTTGTTGTTTGTCAAGTACTAGCTATTTATAGGAATTGATGTAAAAGGTTGCTGCTTTAAAAAATTATCTCAGATAAGCAGTTAAAAAGTGTGGCATGTCCCTAGCGCCTGATCTCAAGTATACCATATAGTTTATCTCAAAAAACAGCAAAATGGAATACGCAAAAACTAAAGAATTCAAATGTACTTGTGCAAATGGAAGATAAAGAATAATTTCATTTCAAGTACTTATTTCTGCCAGTACCAAGGCAGAAAGTCACTATATGCTGGCTGAGGTGCCCTATTCTGAAGCTTTCCCACCTAAGGTCCAGAGTGGCCTCTTGATAGCTAGTGGTTCCACAGGACCTATTATTAGCACTATTGGTAGCACCAAGTAGAACTGGCACACCTCTGTCTTCCACCAGACAGCAACCTGCCAATGATCTGCAGGAGCACTGCAATTCATGGAGAATCCTATTAATACTACAATCTACATAATTCCCTTTTCAGCAAGTCAGATACACTGCTTCTTACATGAATCTATTTGAAGGAGTGCTACTGTTATGTATTCATATCTGAAGAGTATGGCTGCAGCTTATTCAGTTTGTTGCTTAGCAAGCTGAAGACTAGACCAGGTTGCTGAAGATGGAGATTGGAGGTTTGGGGAAATAAGTTGTTTCGTTTCTGGATATTGATATTTTTTTTGTTTCAGATAAGTGTGCAACTGTCCAACTGAACATATTATTGCAACAATGTAATGTTCTGTTACACAGAAGCGCTATTAGCCAATAAAAGCTTTATTGTGAGTAACTGCCAGAGAATTCTAGCAATGGCATGGACAGGGGAAGCCATGAGTACACACATTGGACACAATCTGGGGAATTACAAACACACCACTACAGGGAAACACTACATTCAGCACTACATGAAAAGTGACACCTTTACATTCACTGATATAATTTCTACCTGTGAGGGTACAGTTACTTGTCACTGGGGGCTGCCATTTGTACGTACCTTGAGGAACAAACCTGTACCAGAGCTGTACCATTTTGTCTGACAGTGTATTTACACAATTTACAGTATGACACTATGCATGCTGGCCTGTGAGTACATTAACCACCACCAAAGACCCATGGTGCCACATTATAAATGAATTGCAATTCTGATTGACACTGTAAAACTATTATAGATTACAGAATCTATTAAACCTGCATTCCCCATTAGTGTTATGCTTTTTTCCCTATAAACCTACATCACACATTTTGTTTCAAGATAAAATTGCACAAAATAGGAAAGGCTGCATCTTTGTGCAAATGGGGCTGGGGGGGGGGGGCATTTTGGATGTAATTTTGGTGAGAAGCATGAGAAGGAGGGATCCATACAGACCAGACTTTAATATTTATGCGGTCACACTCTGAGACCATGTAAACCTGAAGAATGATGAAGATGTCCTGGTAAAATGGCCTTCTGTGTCTCATAAGTGTTTTTCCTAAATGTATTATGTACCAGAACACCCTAGGCCAGCTTTGTATTGAATCTGTATATTTTGGACACTCAGAAGGAAGTCAACAAGCATCTCAGTAATCAAGTTTAGCTTCCCTATAAAAACTGCTGTTACTGATGTGGTGATGCACCCAGGTGAGCAGCTGGACATCCTGAGAAAATGTCACCTTGGGCCCCTGCTCGGATTGCCCACCTTGGGCCCCTGCTTGGATTGCCCACCTTGGGCCCCTTCTCAGATTGCCCACCTTGGGCCCCTGCTTGGATTGCCATTTTCAATCGCTCAGTTGGTATTCCCAAGGCAGGGTTGGGGCCCCTACAAATTGCTGGATCCCCTGAATCTGTCATGGTCTCCATGCCCCTCCGCTGCCCCTGGATGCACCTGTGAAACAAATGATGTTGCATTGCGAAAAGTTTGGCAAGTTATATTAATAGCTGAGTCCTCCGTCTGGGCAATTTTTTTTTTACATTTGATGTTCTCATTCCAAATTGCCTCATAGTTGCTCATAGATCTCCGGTACAGTATTTGGTGTCCAGTATGTGGGGCTAGAGGTGACATCCCTGTTATTTTAAGATGATGTTGTTCTTTTGGCTTTATTTGACCAGAACCTCCAGCAAATGCTAAATTAGGCTCATAGTTGACCTGGCAATCTACATTCCTGTCCTCACCTATGGTCATGGGCTGTAAATACTGACTGATAGAACAAGGCTGTGAGTACAAATAGGTCAAATAAGGTTTATTTGGAGGGTTTCTGCTTCTCATTTAGATAGAAATACAAATGCTAATCTGGCACTGGAACATATCCCAGGCCATGCTGGAGGGATTATATTTCCCAACTGATTTGGGAGTGTCTGGGGGTGCAGAATGAGCTAGAGTCTATAGCTTTGGAAAGATTGATGTGGTCTGACCTGCTTAGCATTGAGACATCTTCATTTTCATACTCCAAGCAAAACACGGTGTTATTAAACAGCCGACTTTAGAATAAACATATTGAATCCCCCCCGCATAATAATTTAAAAAACGAATGATATAATTTCTTCCAGCAGGGGCCACTATTGATCTGCGGCAAATGTTAAAAAGTGCAATTTTATTGCTTTTGCACTAGGTGGTGCTATAGGTTTCCAAAATAATATACTCTCAAATTCTATAATAGGAAAAAAATCTGTTGTAAGTATCAGACCTCTAGCTTACGCTCTAATACATCTACTGGTTGTGTACTTTGCTTTTAACAGTAACAGAAATCTAGCACGATGTGTGAGTTGATGTTTTTTAGTCTTGCTGAAAACACAACGATGTAATTGTTAGATTAAAGTTGTCTGCATCAATAAAACGTATTCCTTATATATAAGAAAACAGATCCCATTTGTCGTCTGTGATGAGCAAATACTTAATTACATTTCTTTTTATAGAATAACTTCATGGTTATCCTTGACAACTAGGCGCTAGGACCGAAAGCTGTATGTAAGTCACGCTTTTAACGACACTGTTTTCTATTATGTTGCTAATTATATGGTGCTCTGAGTAACTTAAAATTAATTATAAGGTGCTCGACCAAGAGCGAGGCAGTGCTATTGAAACGGCTCAGTATTCACAGAACAGGCCACCTGCAACAGGATGAACTGAAAGATATAAATTCGGTTTTTGTGAGAAGATTAAAAACCTTCATCCAGTTCTGGGGACATTTCCTGAAATCGAGAGAGCTGCTCCTTCGTAAGTACATAAAATGTGTTCTGGAAATATACAGATATTTTATTATAACAATAAATGTAAATAGAAGAATGTATTTATTTTAAACATTTCAACTTGGCACAACGAATTAACGAGAACAGTGAGAAACAATGCGTTCAAATCAGTTATATTTGGAATATTTACAATCCTGCCATTTCTATTTATTAAACGAACGTTCATCAGTTCAGTTTGACTAATGCAGTACCTAATGCTGCATTCAAGATTTCTTGTTTCTGGTAGTTATTAAGCATTAGTTATTTTAATTAAAAAATGTCTACATCTATGTTGCTTTTAGCATTCATTTTCTCTTCGCAGTATTTGAAACGGTAACTATGAAGCTTCTTTGCTAATTTGATTTAATAATACGTTTAATAATTAGTTCATAATTTCACCTTAAGACGAGACTGTCCGGTATTTCGCCTGCTTTTATATGACAGCAAAACTTACTTTTAAATAAATATCTAAACAAACTTTTAATGTAAAAAAACTTTTAATTATAAAACACAAACAGAACCATAATAATGTTTGTAAAGCAATTTCGACCAAAGTGACGTTTGGTTAGTTATTTGATTGAGGTAAACAGAAAGCGTCTCCCCTCCCTGCCGCTGATATGTTTCAATATAAAATAAGATAGTGTAAACAAAAGTATTTTGGCTGTAAAAACAGTAAATAGCATGAAAAATGAATTTACACGGATAAATGCAGTTCATTTATGATTTGTAATATTTTTGTGTTAGCCAATGAAATGATGAGAAGAATTTATATTTTTTGTTGGCTTAATTTGTTTTAATTTGTATTTAGCTTCCAAGAGCGACAAATATTGTTTTATTGTATTTTTGTTACGTGTGTGTTATTTAGTAGTGTGTTTAAATGTTTAGTGTGCCTATATGTTGTTTTAGTACTAAACACGTCTAAACGTCAAATATCCATATTTTCAATCTGCGTACTGCACTTGCGATTCACGTTTAATGTGGTAAAATTATTTAGAGATAATTATACCTGCAAAAAAGGATTCATCTGGAGCCGACAGGAGGGAAAACATCTTCGGATGAATAATTAAAAATGGGACATATATATATTCATTTTGTGAGAATAGAACGATAATGTGGTTAGAGAAATACTGAACTAATTATATCATTTAATGCATATGCCATGATTCCTATATGCGGCTTCGGCATCCCATGGCGTACTGTATGTTGTGACAAGTAAGACTCAACGTAACAGTTTGGTTATAAGTATTTGTTTGTTTATTTATTTATTGTTTGTTTGTTTGTCTGGCGACCAAGGGAAAGATGCATCCCTACTGTGTTGCACTGGCTACAAGAAATTACCTTTTGTATAACGGTATCCACAATTTCCCCTGAAAGGTGCGCTATTGTATTTTTTTTTTGCCTGTGTGCTACGATAGGCCAATGTATAACACACCACACTTTATTTTTTCCAAAACAATTGCGAAAGGCCCTCAGAAAGGATTTAACAATAGTGAAAGTATTACGAAAAATCGGATTGAGGAGATTTGGGCATCTGTTAAAAGCAGCCAATAGATTTTACATTAGTAATATTGAATTTAGGAGGACAGCGGCAGATCGAGTAAGGATTAAGCACAATTTATAATCTGATCAGAGGAAAATCCGATGCTCGAAAGCTGCCCGCAGTACTGTGACGATCGACGATTCTTCAACTGCGTCCGTAAATCTAAAAATTCAAGTTCCCGTTACAGTGTAAAATTAGAAAATGCAATGCATTATAGATGCACAGTATATTCTGTCATCGGTGTTTTTGGTGCCGGACCCAATTAACACGTTATCGTTTTCAGCAATCTGCAGCATTCAGACATGTTCATTAATCTTTAAACCGCGCAACATTTAATTCCTCTTTAAATTCCTCTTCTGAGCCGCCGGTTCCTCATAGAAAATCTTTTAAGCACAGCATGCATAGTATGCGATCCTAATTTCTGAACGTCACGATAAACCGTGACGATAGGTAAAAGGCAAGAAAATAAATAGGAAAGATTAACATTATGCCACATTTTCACAAGCATGCTCATTGTTTTCTATGGCTGTACTTACTAGTGTTAGTTTGCTGATGCTCCCAGTGGGTAGTACAATGAAACAGAGCGGGAAGCGTAATGCCTTTCAGGTATCAGGATGGTCTCCTTTTAATCAAAGAAATATCGAATAATCTTGTCTTAATGTACCTGTCGATTTGCTTACTACCACGGGGTCTCAAGAAGCATATAGTCGATTCGTTGGGGCAACCGGATTGGCTTTGATTTTGAGTGATTCCCTGACATTTTATATAAAACGTTCAATTATATGCCTATCTATATAGGATAAAAGATTATTCACGTTAAGTATGTCGGGCACATGACCCAAAACAAAGGTTTGAGTTTTCATATCAATCGATTATTCATATCAATCGATTAAACGCTCGCAGATTAATAACTCGGATAAATGAAGTCATTGGGAGAATAATCGTTTCGGAGTACGAACATGAGATCTGTATGTTGGTTTTCAGTGAGAACAATATGATCAATGCAAAGAAAGCGATGGATTTTGTGTTTTGGCAGAGTGTTTGCCTGCAGCCAGTAGCAAAGAGATAATTCTGGCCTATTTGGGAGGCGCAGTGTTACGCAGTGTTACACGAAGCGGCCACGCAGGGTCACCCCGCTCCGACACTCGCTTTGTTCTCATTAGAGTGTGACATTTAATGCACAGTATGCAACCATAATAATATGCTGGTAAAAGCCTGCACAGTAAAAAGATGTGAGTGTTAACAGTTTTAAGAAAATTAAAACGTCTTAAACGCCTTATTTAGAACGGCCAAAGACAGCATTTTGCTATGCTATTGCGCATAGGTTGATTAATTTTTGTTATTAGGAATAGTTACTAGAAAATCTGAGTTAGAAAGTATAGTAGTGTTTTTACTTAGTATGAATTTCATTAGCATTTTATGCTAAATGACGTACGTAAGCCTGCGTTGCAAATGTATGATTTACCTCTTACGCGTCTTTTAAAAATCTTAAAATTATTTTGCGCTTTTTTTTAACATCAGAGAACTTTAAGACTAGTAATCTGTGCGTGTCCATAACCATTTGAAACACAGTTAGAATGAAGGATGTCTAACTGTATTTGGTTGTCTAAACGTTATTTTCAAAAATTAGTTTTTAGTGATGATGAATTTTACTTATACACACGAATATTATACTAATGTTAAACCATAGGCCTACAACACTCAAAAACGGCCTACAACACTCAAAACAATGGTCCCTTTCCCGTGTTTGAGATATAATCATGAGATGCACGAATGCACAGTTAAACAGTCAAATTAAATGAATGTCAAAATGTCACATCTTCCCTAAGACACAACGAAATGCAGAATAATTATAGTAATTAGTCCAGCTGTAAAACTTTCCCTATTTCAGCAGTTGTGTCCTTTGTATTGTTTTTACAGCTAGCTGCCTTTTTAAAATATCTGGTATAATTCAGGGCTTTAAGTCGTACCCCTAAATGTTGAATTTTAAAATTCCGATTGTGTAAGTCTGTAGCATTTTCCATTTTTCATAGCACATAATATATTCAAAGTTTTTAAATCAACAAAAACAATGCATTCAGAAAAAAATGTCAGTTTAAATAAATGTGTGTTTTATAGAACAAAATCATCTTTTGTACATGTTCAATGAGAGTGGCCATATCTATTTTAGCTTCCTGCTTGGCCTTTCATAACTTACAAACAGGTTTATTTTGCTATGCTAATGCTAATATAAAAGATAGACTCTTTAAAAATGTAAATGTAGATATTAAGCTTCCTGGTCAGACTTTTATATGATTCGTTTTATAGAGTAGCGCTCAGCTTTTACACTATAAAGATTAACAGTGTTTATTTATTGTACCCACCAAATGATTTTTAAACATGTCATATTATATTAACAACCACGTATGTCTTCAAATGGTTCTATTAATTCTTGCTCTGACCGTCTCAGTCATGCGTGATGGTTACAGTAGACACTGTTAATGTGAGACGTACGCCTTAATGCAGTCAGGACAAGCCTCCACCTCAACCATTAATTGAGCGATGTTAGCAAACTTAGGAGGAGCTGTGCTGGCGTACTGAATGCTTTGAATAACAATAACATCTCGATTGACATTAGAGACATTATGTTCATGGGGAACGTGGTTTGAGAAATGTGCAGAAGGTACCTTTCAGCCACTGAGCAATAAGACTACAGTTTGAGAGCTTGTGTCTGTGTTGTTATTCTCAAGAGGGTGAAGATGCTGTCGGAGATAAACACCATTATCGTACTTCTAGCAACTATGTAGCCCATATATATATATATATATATATATATATATATATATATATGTGTGTGTGTGTGTGTGTGTGTGTATGTTGTTTTACCATATATCATTTGTTATATAAAATCTATAAACAGGGAGCCTTCCAGTGCAGCGTTGTAAATAGCCAGATGCAGAAAAACCATAAAGTTCAAACTTGTTTCAGATGTTTCAAACTATTGCTATTAGGAAAAACAGATATTGATGATAAGTATGGTGATAAGTTCCCAGTTTTTTGTGCAAAACTGGAGTTGCTGGGATATGGGACATCAATGAGATTAATATGTAAGTGGAATAACACATTAGATCATCTGTAGATTTTATATGTATCTCCGTCTACTAAGCATCCCATTCAGGGTGGGGGGGGCCATGGACCCTGTCCCAGGCAGTGCAGCCCTGGGGATGCCTGTCCATCACGGGGCACCCGCATGCATAATACAGACAATTTAGAAATGACACTTAGCCTAAATGCATGTCTTTGGACTGTAGGAGGAAACTGCATTACCAAGAGGTATGACTTTTATTCAAAACTTCATTGACTTTTTTGCTATAATACATACGTAATATCACTGTAAATATATTTCACTGCTGCATATCCTGGCTTGCATGTCTTTTGGCACAGCTCACATACATTCCATTGGCAGTTGC